TTCCTTTGATATAAATAAATTTTATGTATTCTTAATACTTCCCTCATATGAGAAAAATTATAGAGACATAAGCATTAGTTGCAAATGATATTTTAATCTAATTAATTTTGAAGAAGAGGCAAATCAAATATAAAAATTTAAGCAAATACAAAATCTTAATACTTGTACTATACACAATTTAAAGCAAATAATAAATTATTTTAAACTTAATATATATACAAAGGGAAATAGAAAAGTTATATATACAAAGTATTAAATAGACAAAATAGAATAAGATGTTCCAAATTACTCATTGTTCCATAGAGTCCTTTGGAGTACTTTCTAATTTTCAATTCTATAAATAATTATATCAAGTCTAAATTCTTATCATAGTACTTCGTGACAACTCGATCTTCTATCAAATGGACTTTTGGTTCCATGTATTTTTTTTAGGATGGTTCCTTGTATCTTTGTGCTTCAACAATCACAGCATTATTTACCTGTACTACAACTTCTAGTAATATGAAGTGGTTAATCAACATAAGAAATAATATATTTTAAAAAAGTCATTGGCATAAGAATATATTTAAAAAAAGGAAGAAAAAAATCAAATAAAACCAATTGAATTTGGTCGATCAAAACTCTAACTCCCCAAACGAAAACATATGCAACCTCAATATTCATTTACAACCTCTATGATATCCAATTATACCATCCGTATATAATCATGTTTTTTTTAAAAAAAATAATAATAATATCTACACAACATTTATCCATTTTTTTTTTTTTTAAAGATAAAAGGAGAATTCAATTACCTCCTCAAATCACCTAGGAGAAAGGCTTGATGATACTTTGATACTCTTATTTATACCAAGTAACATCCCAGAATTATATGCAACAAGACAATTTTCTATTATAAAAGCAATTAATGAAAACAATAACATATGAAAATTGCATCTATGACTATTACTTAAAACAGTAGGATTTCCTTCAAATTTTTAACTAATTCTGGGATTTGAATTATCAGGTCAAAAATTGCAAAATAAAAATTCAAAATCCCCAAAAAAATTCCACCTAAATTCTAGCAAAAAAAGATACTTAACCAAAATTAGAGTTTAATATACCGATTTTTAATTAACATAAAATTATCCAAACAAACCAACATCATATTTTCCACAACAATCGATTAAAATAGATATTTATGTCAAAAAAAAAAAAAAAAAAAAAGATTAAAATAGATATATATGAATTAATTTTAAAATTCAAAAACAAAAAAGAATTAAGGAGAGGGAACCTTGAACACCAGCATGATAGACACCAAGACCAAGCCAGGTAAGTGTATCCATTAATGGGGGAAAGATATACTACGTAGTACACATTCAAGTAATTAAATTGGTTCTGAAAAAAAAAAAAAAAAAAAAATTGGTACTGCAATGGGAAAATATAAATAAAATTACATTAATTTAACATCATATTCAATCCATGTAAAAATTTAATCAAAATAGGTATCAGTATTTATAAATAAATTATGATAAATTTAAATTCCTTTAATAACTACATCAAAGCTAAATTCTTATACTCCTAAAAAAAAAAAAATTTAAAAAAAAAAGCTAAATTCTTATACTGCTTCTTCATTACTACTCCTCTATTAAATGGCCTGGGAGGTTGGGATTTTAATTCCTTGTATCTTTGAGCTTTGATAATCATGACAGTATTTACCTGCAACAAAATATTTACAACTTCTTATGACCAAACAAAGGAAAATAAAATTTCGAAGAAAATGATCCAAGATCAAGAAGCCCGCTTAGAAGCTCCGTGGATCAAGAACCAATTGCCCTTATCTTGGAAACACTTGGGTTTTATCCATTTTCAAAGAGGGCCGAAATTCTATGTTGCATTTCATGGGTGGATTGAAGATTGGAAGCAATTGGGCATACATCACACTTTGGCCCATTTCACTACTATTTTTGGGCGTGTGTTGCTTGGTCCGTTTATTTAGTATTATTAGCTTAAGTTTGTTGTTTTCTTTGCTGAAAAATAATGCCAAGAGTTGCTCTTTGGCTGGTTGTAATAGGAAGAGTTTAACTCTTCATCTTTAGGCTTAATTATGCATTTAAAGCTAGCTTGTATTAAAGGGGAAAACCGTGGCTTTTGGCTCTCCATCTTTTGGACGGTTTTCCTTGCCTTTTGGTGTGCTTATTTGCTGCTCCTTTCCTCTATAAAAGGGAGAGCAAACCAGAAATAAAATCAGTTTTGGAGATATACCTAAAAACCGTGAGGTTTACTTAGCATTCTTCTTTGTGTTTGTCCAAAGTTTGAGTGTTGTTCCTTGTTGCTTTGAGTTAGTTCTTGAGTGACAAGATTAGGGAGAGATTGAGTGTGTCTTGTCTCTAGCCTAAGAACCCAAAACTTTGAGTGTGTTCTTGAGTTTTGGTTAATTTCACAATTTTAAGTTGTTTCAAAGTGAGTTGTGTTTCATTCGACTCTAAATACCATAACAACTTGTTGGAAGGGTGTTTTAGACTTACATCAGAAAAATTATAAAGCATACCTCAACAACTCTAGCAATTGATGATGCCTACATTCTTGTATTCATAAATGAACCGAACAACCTACAAAATATATACTATAGTATAAATTAGAAAAACTAAAAAAATAAAAAATTAAAAAAAAAAAACCTGAAGCTATGATTCCAGTTATATAAAAGTATCACAAAATTTCAATGCATGATCTGTGCACCATGCACCTGGTTAAATAAAAAAAAGACGGAAAGAACATTTAGTTGTTTGAAAAAGAACATGCATTATTAAAGAACATAAAGACATTACAAAAAGAACGTGATAAAAACTTTATTAAAATTTTATGAAAAATTACACATTAACGGAAAAAATATTTACCAAAGATATCATTTCCCCAAAAATTGTTTTTTCTCTCTCCAAAAATTAACTTTCTATAATAATTTTAGTTTTCTCTCTCTAAAATATTTTCAACTAAGAAAAAACCAAGATTTCATTTTTAAATTAAATTTCAAAATTCAAAATAACATATGTTAAAATAACATAAAATATAATGTAAGGAACATATAATTTATACCTGAATAACACACTGATCAAACTCAAAGAACATACGATAATAAAAAAATAATGATATATGATAATTCAAAAAAGAATTTGTACGTCACTCTTTACCTTAAAGAATATACGAGCCAAATTCAAAGAACATACTTTGTATTATTGAAACCCAAATATGTTTTAAAAATGTTTTGAAAATGGAAAATGCCCATTAAAGATAATAATTTAAAACTGAAAGCAGTTTAAAGGGAATAATTCCCTATAATTTCGCCCAGAATTTTTTATTTTTTTTATTTTCCACTAATTTTTTTTATATTTTCCCTAATTTAATGCTAATTAGTTATGCCACATCACCATACAATTTTCAATGATTGTCTCCTTTTGAATTTTAATTATATAGCATATAATTTTTATTTTCATATAGGCAGCATTATAACCCTCAGAGAATCGTGTTGAAGAAGAATTTCACTATATATATTGTTTATGCCAAATTTCACCTAAGGGCGACCGCTGGGACATTCGACGGCTAGAGAAGAAACTATAGAAAATGAATAAACTTAAGGTTTAAAGCAAATAAAGAACAAGGTATTTTGGTGACGCAGAAAACCCAAACGTGGGAAAAACTGCGGGTGGGTACAAGAACACCGTTTATAATGGTGATTATGAATATTAAACCCTAGCTAAAGGGCCGTTGAAAGCTCGCAACAACTTCCCTAAAATGTAAGAAAGTCGTTACTCGACTAAGTCTTGGACTTATCTTCTCATTGTGGACTTATCTGGACGGAGTTTAAATTGCTATCATGATATTCTTTACTTAGCAACAATTATAATGACATCGTGGAACCTTATCACTTCCCTATCTTTCACTAAATCGGTTACAGGGTCGTCCGTCTGTTGGGCGTCAAGACATGCCTTAATTTTGACCATAACATATTTATACATAAAAGTCCAGTTGAGATTCCATTCATACAACTATACAAGTAATTATGAAGTAGTTAAAAGAGAACAAATTAATTGAATGCCATGAATCATTAGGACAGGAAAAAGCACTAACTGGCAGACTGCAAATATTGCAGGAAAAGTTGTATGTGCAATACCTGTAAGTATCAAATCTTCTTCAGCATGAAAGAACTAATGTGTTGATTGATAACTTACACTGTAACTTTCTTTGTGATTTGGACACTCCATACTTTTGCTGAAGTATTATTAACAATGGCAAGCGGCATCTGATATCCTTGCTCACTGGATGACCTTCTATCCCATGAGTCCATGACCATCAAATACTCCACAAATTTTCTGATCCATAGCCCTTCAAATAGAAAGACAAAACAGCCAAGGTTCACGCCTATAAGGGAGATTCTACAACAGCATTCAAGTATTGTAAAGTACTATTGTTTATTTTGACAAACAAATATCGAACGAGAATAGAAACCATTTATATTCGATATTTTTTGTTACAAGTCTTTAATCTTCAAACGAAACCTCTCTATCATATGAAATATTCAAACTACAGATTTAATTAGTGAAGTGATCATCTTGCAAGAACTCTAAAATACCCTTTTCTTTTTTTACCCTGTATACTGATACATACTAGGATTTAGCCCTAAATTATTCTTTGAAAAGAGTAGGAGAATATATTTATCAACCCAGAGTCATAAACAATAAGCATAGTTAATTTGTTTTCCCGATATCTCTAACTCTATATGTAGTCTATATAATCATTGACTGAACACCCTCGAGTCTAGTGGTACCAGCATCCATCTTCCACGGGGACAACCTAGGACAAAACCTAGGAGGAAGCATACAGGCAAGGGGGACAGACCTAGCTTATTTAACGTATAGTTTAATTCACTCTCCAGAACAAACCAACATCAATACATCATACAGGGTCACTGATAGAAATATACAAATGCACAACATTTGAAGTTACTAAAAACTACTTTTGCTGAACTTTATCAATAAAAAGCTCCAGAATTTACAAAGAGAGTCAGGGATGTTTGGGCAACTTAGTACATGGAAATCAGAAAAGCAGCAGCTGTCTCTTTTTAACTATGATACAATGTCTGAAGATAACAACTATAACAAATATTCAAAACATCTGCTGAATGCCCGGACTACCAAGCCAATCAACATTCTCATTGGCTAGACACAGTGACGGTATCTTCAGCCTGAGCAGCATCAGTTGCCGGCAATTTCTTAGTCAGTGACAAGGGTAAATCAAGGTCATCTTGCAAGCAATGCTGCTGATGGTGCGATAACAGCAAGCACATGTGACGGAAAAGAATGCATTGAAGGCCCTGACCACTTTCAAAGATGTAGCCCTTATACTCAGTAACTTATTCAAGGGCTTCCACAAGATTATCATACACTTTTTGGGGGCAATTTTCAGGTCCCGGCTTGTCATGAAGGTAAACTACATCAGAGTGAGGAGCTTTCGGTTGGCAGGCCACTGAAATTGTGGTTGCAGAGATGAACGGCAATACAGCAAGATCAAAAAGAATGCCACAGCAAGATCAAAAAGAATGCCAAGGGATGTAAAGACAGAGTCAGACAAGTTGCTGACAGAGTCTAAACAAATGATGTGCTAGACGTCTAAAACCCTCTAAGTTTCCAGAAAGCCAAATAGATTATGTCAAAGTTTTTAGACTTTTCCAAGTTTGAAAGAGAGAAGGCAGAAACAAGATCATGAATAAGCCAAAGCATATAAGACCCATCTGTGATCCCCATTGTGCAATATGGAATCGAAAGAAAGTGAACATGATCTCCGAGAGAAGAGGCACAGTTCAGTAAATTATAAACATATAAATATACCAACTCCAGGAAGCAACAACACAAGTACCCAAAATAATCCAGAAAAATAGGCCAAATGCAACATGAATACTCAACAATGAGTTAATCAATCATTCAAAATCAAAAGTGACAATTTAGGTGGAGGTCTAAGTGTATAACAATTATGATTCACGTTAATCTGCACAATAAATCAGCAAAGATGTCTGGCAAGCAATCACAAGATCAAACTTTTCAAATTCAATGATTAATAATTGAACTCACTACTCACTTACCACTCTTAATATTCGATTTTGAGACCGGGATTTTTTCGCTTGGTGCGCAGCAACTCAAAATAACTGAGTAAGGTCTGCCTGACCTCCTGATGAGCTCACAGACAACCCCCGAAAAGCAGTGATTGCATAATCAACTTCACTTGTAAACTCCTTTCTCACCTTCAGAAACAGAAAACAACAGGTTAAATTTGACTTCTGGACAATACATTAACACCCTTATAGCTGAATGAAACTCCAAACCCACTCCATAAATAAGACAAACAGAATGTAAAAATTGGTAAAAACATTTCTGATCAGCATACAAAATTTCAAAATTTCTTACTGGGCAACAAAAACAACTGCATCTTAAAACCCAGAAAACAAAATTCTCGAAAACCCTCAATCAATTTCAAAAAAACATAATCAATAAACGACATCAAACCGCCAACCCCATCTGGGTAAAACACTAAATTACCAAACAATTGAACAATTAATCAAATTCTAATCAAAAATTGATTTTAAAAAAGAAGTACAAGATTAGAAAATTACCCAAGAAGCAGATTTAGAGAGAAAAGCAAAGGCGAAACAATGAATGGGATGGTTTGATAGAATCAAGTCGACTACTGGGTCTTCCATTAGGTCCAGTGTTCTTCATTTCAACCATAGTTTCGGTGTCAACATCAATACAGAAAAGTATGTATTGGAATTCAAGTCTTGTGCTACATCTCCAGTTTGAACAAATGTAGCAAAAGACTTCAATTCCTATAACTTGAATTCCAATAGTATGTCTTCGTTGCTGTATCGACTTGCTTTCAATGTGTAAGCTACTACGCCGCTTCCGGTGCCGGTGCACTCCACTACTTGAACTTCCATTTTCATCTCTCTCCTATGGTTGGGTGTTTACCAGTTTTAATTTTTACTCCAGAAATTGTGAGCTTTCTAATACGAATTACTACCAACAATGGAAATTTGCACTTAAAAACAAGGGAATTTTGAAATGGATACCAGTTACCCGGTTTTTTAAGTGCAATGGATACGAATTACACATCATAACCTTTGTTGGTTCGTAAAGGTTACGATGTGTAATTTTCTTAGAGACGAGACACTTTAAAAAAGTCAATAGTAAAGAGTTCTTACATAAAAAAGACTTTTTTTTTTTTTTTTAATACAACAATTTGACTGGACATGGATGTTATTATCAATGAAAATTGCATAGTACATCAGGGCCTATTACTGGTGTTAAATAATGCATTTTTAACATTTCATTTGAAAGCTGTTTGTTAATTTAAAAAAAAAAATATAAAAACAAAAAAAAACAATCTTTTCCACAATTCATGGGATTCAATATGATATTCTCCATTTTTACATAACTTCCAAAATTAAATTTCACCATATTTCAATTTTGAATTAAGAGAGAGAACAAAATTTATAGAGAATTTTGTAGAGAGAAAAATATTGAGCAAATTATGAAGACATTGTAATTGATGGATTGGATAAGGTAATTTAATTTTATTTGTTATGATTTTAATTTCAGAATTTTGCTTGTTAGGTTGATTATATTTCGTTATTATTTTGCACGATAATTATTGTAAAATATCATTGTGTTTTTTTTTTTTCAATTTTGGTATTTATGATTTTGAGATCCATATGACAAACGTTGAAAATGATGTTCTTTATATTTTGTCAAATGTTGAAGATGATGTTCTTTATATTTTGTCAAAGGTTGAAGATGATGTTCTTTATAAGTTGTACTTATGTTCGTTATTATAATTATTGAACAATCATATAAATGTTCTTTATTTTTATCCCTTATGTTCTTTGCTTCGATGTTCTTTGATTTATCCCATATGTTCTTTGAATTATTATAATATTAATTTTAAATAATATATCATTTATTAATTCTATATATCTTTTAATATTAATTACCACTAACTATGTATATTTTTTTTTAAATTAGGATCATGAAGGTTGATAACGATATTCTTTTGAGATCTCCTCTATTGATGATTGTTTTTTAGATCTAAAGAACATCTGTAATATTATTAAAGAACATGATAATATTATGTAATGAACATAACTTATATATATACCTACCACGATCCAAAGACAAAATTCAATGAACATTTCACAATAAGCAATAATGAACATTATGTGACAATAAATGTACATAAAATTCAAAGAACATTTCACAATAAGCAATGAACATTATGTGACGATAAAAGTACATTGCAATTACAATCAAAGAACATGGACATTTAAAAAAATCTATCAATAAATCTAATAAAAATCATTATACGATGTCATTATGGTCATAAGGAAAAAGATATAGTTTTAAGAAATAATTGTGCATTACAAACAACTATAAAGTACATCATGTTTTCTAATAAAGAATATTATTAAATCACATATAAATATATATATATATATATATATATATATATATATATATAACCAAAAATGAATATTATAACTATATATATAATTGGTGAAAAATACGAACGAAATAAAAAAAAAATTTGAAAACTGAAATTTTGAAAATGAAATTTTAAATTATAAATTATGAAATCTAAAAACGAAACCTTAAGTTATTTTTGGGTGAAATAATTTTAGAGAAAAAAAATAATTATGAGAAATTGTATTTTTGGAGAGAAAGCAAAACTGATTTTAGAAAATGATAATTTTTGAAAGAGAGAAAGCAAAACTGATTTTAGAAAATGATAATTTTTGAAAAGATTTTATCAGTTAATGTGAGCCATGGGTAGATCTTTTCCCATAATTAAAGATTTGGGTTGAGAATATCTCGCGTTCTTTTTATCTTAAATTGATGATTTTTAGAATATGCATGTTCATTATTTACTAACATCATGTTCTTTCCGCTTTTTAAGCTTGTTTGGTGCCCGCGTTTTATGAAGAAACAAATGTCGTTCACCCGGGTGTACAGACCAAGTATTACATAATCGAGGCTACTAAACGAGGTCCTTGTTTTACCAAACAACACCTACAGTTTGTAAAAAACTAAAGCGTACATGTGCTAAAGCACATGATATTTTATTCGCAAAATAAACAATACAAAGTGAAATGTGGTACTTATTGTCTTGGAAACATAGTGGAATTGATAGCTATTGATAGTTTTTACTTACTCCCTCTGTTTTTTTAAATGCATTAGTTTCATTTTTGCACTTTCCACATGCTATGTTTAACTTAAATTTTTTGCTATTATAAAATAATTAAATGTTGTTATATAAATATCATTATATTCGTCTCAATGTCTAATTTCATATTTTAATTTTGTTACAACTTTTACCAATAGACAATTAAAAATATTAATGGTCAAATTACATCTCGACAAATATGTCAATCAAGCTGATGCATTTAAAAAAAACAGAGGAAATATTTTTTAAAAAAAATCAAATGCATATGATTTAAACATTTGGGGATTTAGAGGATTGTGGTGAAGTTTTTTTCTTCGCATAATGCTTATGAGTTATGACAATATAAATTATAACTAGACTTAGCAAACGGGTCGTTCATGTAAGGTATGGGTCAAGTAATTTCGGGTTGGGTCAATTTCGGATCATTACGGGTTGGGTCAATTTCGGGTCATTAAAGAGAATCGAGTCAAGTTTGGGTCGGGTCAATTCAGGTTCGGGTCGACAGATAATCGGGTCGGGTCGGATATCGAGTCACACTTCAAGTTGAGTTTGGGTTGGATCGTTTTGGGTCAAGTCAATTATCAGGTTCAATTGTCGAGTCAAATTTGGGTCAGATCATGTTAGGGTCATTCCGTTTTGGATCGATACTTTAGGTCAAGCTCAAATCGATAAATTTTTTTAATATTATTATCATTCTTTATAGTGTGCTTTTTTACATTAAATAATCAAGGAAATATACAAACTTGCATATCTAAATTATAATCAGTTAGGTCATACTGGGTATCAATTAGTTTTTGTTCGGGTCATTTTAGGTCTAAGACTATTCGAGTCAATCAATTCGGATCAAAATTGGGTCAGGTCACTTTGAGTATTAGATTACTTCGGGTCGAGTTACTTAGGATATCGGGTCACTTAAGGTATCGAGTCAATTCTGGTCGGGTTACTTCGGGTTTGGTTCAATTCCATTTCAGGTCAGGTCGGGTATGGATCGAGTCGGGTTAGTTTCGGGTTCGAGTTATTTTTTGAGTCACGAGTCAGGTCAGGATTGCCAGGTCTAATTATACCTAATTCATCAATATATTGTATGAAAACAATCAAAGGATGTAAAACGGTAAAAGTAAAGCTCGAATCGATAGGTTATTGAAGCATTAGACCTTACTTAAACAAATTAGGAAAAATTGGTTTAAAAATCTCAACTTTGGTCGATTTTCTTTAAACAATCTTAACTTTTGATTATTATGAAATAATCCCAACTTAGGGTGTGTTTTCGTTTCTTCTAATAGTCCCAACCTAGTTTATTAACTTTCGAATATTTTAAAATAAACTATGTTTATAAAAATAGTAAAGTTGAAACAAAGGGGGAAAAAATAGGGTTTTATGGGTGTTGTTAAACGTCGTTCCCAAATTACAACTCGTCGCTCGCATTTTTTTCATGAAATTCCGTTTTTGCCCCCGTATATAAATAACTCACGACACTCACTCACGACAGTTACAACACATTTTACGCTCGTACTTTCTCTCTAAAAACTAATTATCCTCAAAAATTAAAAAAAAAAAACAGATTTTTTTTTTTAAATCTGAAAATTCAAAAAAAAAAAAAAACCCTGAAAATTTGGGACATCCGCCTGAAATTTCTGGATGTCTTAAGGGACATCCGCCTAAAATTTCTGGATGTCCCAAAGGACATCCGCCTAAAATTTCCGGATGTCCCAAGGAACATCCAGAAATTTCAGGCGGATCTACGTAGATCTGCCTGAAATTTCTGGATGTTCCCTGGGACATCCGGAAATTTCTGGCGGATGTCCCTAAAATTCGTTTTTTTTTTTTTTTTTTTTTTTTTGTTTTTGTTTTTGTTTTTTTTGGTTTTTTTTCGTGCTTAAATTTTTTTTACTCATAATTAATGTTATGTAATTTTGGTTTTTTTTGTTGTGGTTAATATTTTTTAAATAATTGATTAAATGCAAGTGGTGGGTCAAAGTGCTCGGGAATAATATTAAACTGCTCGGTATACTATGTGACAAAGTGGTGGAGCCTTATATAGGTCAAATTAACACAAGGGCAAAACGGTAATTTCACATTTAAATGGGAGCGTCACCATGTAAATTGGGAGCGTCGAATAGCAGTTCACAAAAAATATGACGATATCATAGGACTTTTTTTTTTTTTTTTTTTTTGAAACAGATATCATAAGACTCTTACACTTTGTTTGGATAGAAGGAAATGGAAGGAAAAGTAGAGAAGAGAAAAGGAGGGGGACAAATTCTCTTGTTCGGGTAAAGGATTGGTGGAAAGAAGGGGAAGGAGAGGAAGGGATCCATATGTTTTGTTTCTGTTTTTAGTATATAACTATTGTTTGATTGATGTTTGTTTTTATTTTTTACTAGGTTAGGTCCCGTGCCATGCACGATACTTTAATTTAAATACTTTTGACAAATTAATTTATTTATAGCATAAAATATAAAATTGTTTAATATCTTGAACAAAATTGAAGTAACATGAAATATTTGATCAAGATCATATTCTTAAAATTTATTCCACCAAAAATACATCTTCTTGAAAAAAATTATATATTTCCTTATTATTCCGTAATTAATTGAGTATCAACATAAAAATGGGAATTATTATTGCACATCTATATAGTTGACAAAATTAAACTTTTTTTTTTATAAAATAACTTCCTTAAATAATATTTAATAATTAAAATAACTTCCTTAAATAATATTTAATAATTAATTATTAAAAAAATATACTAAGAACACACCAAAAATCGACACGTGTCATTGCTGGTGTGTCTTTTAGTATATAATAATTATAATTATAATTATTGATTGATTTTTTTTTGAACAAGATCGATTGATGATTAATTGTGATTTACTTCTTATTTTATTGAAACCTACTTTTTTTAATGTGAATATTTATTTAAAAATAAAAAATAAAAATAAAAAATATCCCTTAATAAAATCCGTAGGCAGCAAGGAATGAATTCCTGCAAAACTGTTTCCTATATAATGAATGAACTCTCATGAGGTATTGCCGCAAAATCGTAAAATCATATTCATAAATTCCTTTCAAAACTAAACATGGCTGATTGGGGTAATATACCCAACGACATTGCCACAATCATTGCTGAGCATCTGCTCTTCTTGGAAGACTTTGAGGCTTTCGGCTTCGTCTGTTCTGGTTGGAGAACAGCCGCAAAGCAAGCCAAGTTTCGAGCCAACGTGGACATATTTTCCCCATCATCACCCAAACCCAAGTCGGTATGGCTCATGCTACCCGAACTCGATGATACCTCGAACCAACGCCGCTTTTACAGCCTCTATAACCGCAAAGTCCGCACAGCCAACCTCCCTCTGTCGTCGAACCCCAACAACAGCGACATAAGGTTGTTATCGTCGCATGGATGGTTGCTGTCTGTCGCTGAAGACAGTGATAATCTGTGTATTGTCAACCCGTTGTCTAATGCCATAATTAACCTTCCTAAGTTTAGGTTCTGGAACCATTTATTAGGCGGTTTTAGTTACTATACATGTTATGGTGTGACACTATTTGAGAAATTCATCTTATCAGGGAACCCGTCGTTGTCTAGTGATTTCACAATCGCCCTCGTTTTGGCCGAGCCTTATGCTAACTTATGTTGCCGTCATGAGATCATCTCTTTCTGGAGGAACGGCAATCATCAATGGGAACCACTTTTGGAGGACGGAGGACTTGATGACTTTGTAAATTTCTATAATGATATTATTTTTTACAAGGGAAACTTTTATAGCGTTGATGATCGTGGAATCATTTGGTGTTACGAATTAGACCACTCAGGTTGTCCTCATGAGCGGGTGGTTGCTGATCTTAAGACCCAGTTGCCCGATGATTATTCGCCCTACGTATGTCCTATAAAGATTAGTGTAGTATACCTTCTTGGTTGAATCAGAGAATCGATTGTTGGTCGTTTGTAGGGTCAGAGTGATGGTTGATCACTCCTCATATACTGTGTCATTCAAGGTATTCGAGCTGAATGTTGATAATGGGGAAGCTAAGAGTGTTCCTAACTTGGGTGATGTAGCGATTTTCGTGGGTTGCAACTCCTCCTTCTCGGCAAAGGCATCTTCTGCTCATGGCATCAAACACAACTCTATTTATTTTACTGATGATTATAGGCCAGCACATGATTCTGGAAGGAGATTAAAGTCCAAAAGCAGAGGCTTTATTGAAATGGGCATCTTCAGTTTGACAGATGAAAATAGACATCAGCTTGATTTCGTTGAACAACCACATTTTAGTGAATATGCACCATATATGTGGCTTGAAGATCCAAGTTTATGATCTATGATCGTTCTCCTATTGAATTTATATAGCACTTATTGTAATTCAGATTCTATCAATAATACAACTTTTGTTTGCCACTTTTTTGGGTGTATTTTTTTTTTTTTTTTTATTGGTTTGGGGGGGGGGGGGGGGTGGGTTGACTTTACAGAAGCATAAAACTGCTTATTCTTATTTCAATGTTGAAGTCCGATTATTGTATCATATCTTCATTTATAATTTTCATATAGGCAATATTATCACCCCCAGAGAATCTACTCGTAAAAATTACAGGTGAATCTAAAAATATGAGTAAATATACTGGAATTAGTGAGGGGGGAGTTTCCAAATTGATGCAGTGAAATTGAGAAAATATATGTTTTGTCTATCTATCTATGCTTGTAAATAGGTTGAATCTGGAATTGAAAGTTCTTGAAACCTTGTTCGGAATTGGGAATAGGGATTATCTAATCAGCTCTCATATGCGATATATGAAAAAAGCATTTAGGGGAACTTAAAGATCTTAAAGAGGAAACAAGAAGAAAAAAAAATGGAAGACAGAAATATAATGCACATCATTTGAAGTTACTGGCAAGTTTAATTCACTCTTAAGAACAACTAACCAACATCAATACATCATACAGGGTCACTGAGATAAATATACTAATGCACATCAATTGAAGTTAATAAACATTACACTTTACACTTGCTGAACTTCATCAGTAAAAAGCTCCAGAATTTACATAGTGCCAACTTAGAAACAGAGATAGGGATGCCTAGATAACTTAGTACATGGAAACCAGAAAAGCAGCAGCTGTCTCTTTTTAACTACGATACAATGTCTGAAGATGACAACTACAACAAATATTCAAAAAATCTGCTGAATTCCCCGACTACCTAGTCAATCAACATTTTCATTGGCTAGACACAGTGATGGTATCTTCAGCCTGAGCAGCATCAGTTGCAGGCAATTTCTTAGTCAGTGACATGGGTAAATCAAGGTCATCTTGCAAGCAACGTTGCCGAGGGTGTGACAACAACAAGCACATGTGACGGAAAAGAACGCGTTGAAGGCCCTGACCACTTTCAAAGATGTAGCCCTCATACTCAGTAACTTGTTCAAGGGCTTCTACAAGAGCATCATAAACTTTTTGGGGGCAATTCTCAGGTCCTGGCTTGTCATGAAGGTAAATTACATCCAGAGTGAAGAGCTTTTGGTCAATAGGCCACTGAAATTGCGGTTGCACAGATGAACGGCAATACAGCAAGATCTAAAGGCATGGCAGGGGATTTGAAGACGAGTTAGACAAGTTGCGGACAGAGTCTAAAGACTCTAAACAAATGATGTGCTAGAAGTCTAAAACCCTCTGAGTTTCCCAAAAAGCCAAATGGGCGTTTGGTTCGTAGGTTTTAGGTATGAGGTATGGGGTTGGAATGAGTAAAACCCATACCTAATGTTTGTTTAAGAAAAATCTAATTTTTTAAACCCATACCTCAAACCCACAAGGTATGGGGTTTAGAAACCCAAGGGGGGAGGTGGGTATGGCTCATACCACACCTTTAGGTATCAAATAAAATTAAAAAAACTCATTCCTGAATAACAACCAAACACAATGTATTAAGAATCAAGTTCCAACCCCATACCACCCTAATTTCATTCCTAATTCCAAACCCATACCACACTAGGGTTATGTCAAAGTTTTGAGACCTTTCCAAATTTGAAAGAGAGAAGGCAGAAACAAGGTCATGAAGCAGCCAAAGCATATAAGACCCATCTCGGTTTAGTAAACATAAAATTATACCAACTCCAGCATGCAATAACACAAGCACCCAAAATAATCCAGAAAACTAGGTCAAATGCAACATGGGTAGTCAATTAGTAGTTAATCATTCAAAATCAAAAGTGACAATTTAGGTGGAAGTCTTAACTATGATTCACGTTTATCTGCACAATTTATGTTAATCGGACACGGCTAATATCGCGAAGTGTCCGTGTCGACACGACACTTCACAGACACGGACAAGGGACACGTGTCCGATCCTTCACTGTGCACTCGGACACTTCCATTAAGAGAGGAGAGGAGAGGAGAGGAAAAAATAAAAGAAAAACATATCTTGTTCGAGAACCACCATTAATATAGAGAAGATGGAGAGAAGAAAATTGCCATTTATTAGGATAATTACCAAGGAAAGAATTAAAAAAAAAAAAAAAAAAATAGAGGTAGACATAATGAAAAATTTAAAGCTTTTGTAATACATAATTTATTCATATAAATTTAAGTGACGTATTGACATGTCCCCTTACCCGTGTCCAAATATCGGACGAAGTCCCCGTGTCCTAAAATTTTGGAACTTGCCGGATCGGACACTTGAACATGTTTCCGTGTCCGACACCCGTTCCCGAGTTCATGTAACATAGCACAATCAATCAACAAAGATTTCTGACAAGCAATTGCATAACCAATCATTTCAAATTCATAAACAGTGCACTGTACAAAATTCAATGATTAATAATTGAACTCACTTACCACTCTTAATATTCGACTTTGAGACCGAGATTTTTTCGCTTCATGAGCAGCAACTCGAAATAACTGGGAAAGGTCTGCCTGACCTCCTGATGAGCTCACAGACAACCCTCGAAATGCAGCGATTGCAGATTCAACTTCACTTGTAAACTCCTTTCGTACCTTCAGAAACAGAAAACAATAGGTAAATTTAACTTTTAAATAATACCCTCAAGGCTGAATGAAAACCCAAACCCACTCCATCCATAAGAAAAAGAGAATGCAAGAGGCATGGCAAAAATTGGTATTTGTTCTATTAGACTTGCATAAGTTAACCCCAAGCTGAAGGAGAACAAAAACAATCTCAAAGCATACATTACCAGTATATCATAGATAGAAGTTATAGTTTATTATCATTGACTCTCTCAACTACTACAGCATAAACCCAGTCAACCAATCAATCATAGCTGCTACAGCTTTGATACGGAAGTGAAACATGCAAACATCCCACAGGAACCTTCTTAATACTCCAACCATATAACCATTTTTTACTCGGCAGAGGTTGTCATCAAAGTAATTACAAGTTGAGATCTAACTGAGAAGCAACTATTTTCACAGCTTGCTCAGGCTTAGACATAAACTGAAAGGGATAACATATATAAACCCAGGTTCACTTCTCAATAAAAGAAAGCAACAAGGCCATGCCCATCCCTATTCAGCTGAGAAATGATTCAAGAGACGAACTGAACACAGCAATGTCAAGCGATAGATAAGTAAGGCTTCACCTATCTCATGCACATTGCACTCAATTATACTTCCAGTGTTCCAATTGAAGCCCCATAGAAAGTATCAAGCATTAAGCATCAAATTGAGGTATTTAGAAAATCATAGCTAAGCACAGTAGCATAAGGTCTAACATAACCTGCTAAAGACAACATATGTAGCAATCTGATTCAAACACAAATTTCCACAATGGAGAAGGTAGGAATTTTAAGGAAAGGATAGATATATCAATTACATAGAGCTAGCTTACAAACAAAATCTGTCAACAGCCGATCAATATGCACTCAATTAGCCATATTTATTCGATAAGACAAACTAGCAAACCAATTAAGCAGAGAACTTATACAAGAGCATCTAAAACAAAACCACTTCCAACTATATCCTGTGCCTTTAATCACGACTTGAACAGCCCGTCATCCTAAGACAAGTTGCCCAATTTCTGCTCATTACAAAGTCAATCCTTGCTCATATTACTTCCTAACCAGTACACTTTTTGAAGACCATTATAAAGGAGACTAAGTTTGATCATCTCCCATCACTTCACTATTCCAGGTAACAAAATATCAACATACATTGTCAACATTGAGCTATCAAAAAACCAAAATCTCTCACATGAGAAGTGAGAGCACAAACAAACATCCTTTTTCCATCAACTAAGAGTTAATGTCAGCTAGCTTAGGTATAGAGTCATGGGGGCCGATCGAATCCCGTCTACACCATCGTCCTCTGTGCCTCTCTATGTATCTATACGCCATTACAAAAATATATAATTCCTTAAAGTAAGAACATTTGTGATCACCGTACAAAATATCAAAATCTCCCATTTGGACAACAATAACAACTGCATTTCAACGCCCAGAAATCAAAATTCTCAAAAACCTTCAATCAATTCAAAAAACGCAATCAACAAACATCAAACCAACCACTCCATCTGGGTAAAACACTCAATTACCAAACAATTAAACAACCAATCAAATTCTAACCAAAAATTGATTGGAAAAAGGAGTACAAGATTAGAGAAATACCCAAGAAGCAGAATTAGAAAGAGAAGCAAAGGCAAAACGATGATTGGGATTAATGGTGAGTTTGGCATGGATGAATAAGAGAATGGATTGTTTGATTGAATCAAGTCGGGTAATGGGTCGTCCATTTGGTCCAGTGTTCTTCATTTCAACCATACTTTCGTTGTCAACATCAATACAGAAAAGTATGTCTTCGTTGCTGTATCGACTTGGTTTCAATGTGTACGCTACTCCGCCGCTTCCGCTGCCGCTGCCCTCCACTATTTGAACTTCCATGTCTTTCTCTCACCTCTGGTTTGGGGGTTAATCAGTTTTTTTAGTACTGGAGAAATTTTGTGAGCTTTCTAATACTAACACCAGAATGAAATTATCATGGATGGTAATAAATTACAGTATTGGAAATTTAATAAAAAAAATTGAAAAAAGACTTTTGAAATTACTACCTACCAAAAATTGGGAAAAATAATCAATAACCTGGTTGCACAAATAATCAGTTATGAAGGCTTGGTCGTTGAATAAAATATTAGTGTCAACTTGTCTTTGATGTCTTTCCTCATTTATTGTTGGTAACGTGGCAAATGGAGGGTAGGACACATAATGCATTAATAAATGGCCAATATTTATTCAGAAATTATTACCGTTATAATTTTTCTAACGGCCATAATTTTTGGTCAACCATTAGGATTTATTGGTTATTAATGGGCATAAGAGTATTTATAAGTGAGGTGGAAGATAGAGAAATGAATAAAATAAGTGATAACCACAATGGTTGCTCGCAACCATTGAACTCACTCTTAAAGCATATAATTAGATTAGTCATAAAGAAACAATAAAATCCAAGTTACTCAATATGAGTAACAAAATGTGTTACTTAAAGGGCACTTTCGTCTTTTCAAAGCTACTACTTTCTCCATCCAACTTTCTCTCTCCTCACTCCTTTTTGACTCAACAATGACGCTACATTCCAAAATTTTCGACCTCACTTCTTCACCACCACAACCACTGTCATATGCTATCTCCTCTCCTTACATCGCTGACATCACTTCTTTCATCATTTTTGACCCATCTTCGAAAATCAAGCTCAATTGAGGGAGCTTTAATGGAGGACATGGTCACCCCTACCCTTTGCGATTGACCATGCCCTTAATTTCACCCTTTATTCATAGGGTTTTCGTTTACGATCGGGGAAGGTGGGTGGAGATCGGAGAAGCTTCAATGATGGTGGAGATGCGGAAGCTTCAATAGTGGTCGAGATTGGGGAAGCTTTAATGGGGGAATAAGTAGGAAGCTTCTCAATAGAGGGAGTTTTAAATGGTAGAGGAAGAAGGACAAAGACATAAGAATTACAACAAAGCCATTTGAGTAACACATATTGTTACTCAATATAAGTAATCTGGGCACCCTCGAAAAGAAACGCGATGTCTCATGTTTTTGAACTTACATAAATGATACTTGGCTTGTTATTGCTAGATATAATTCATGTAATTTTCCATATGACTTTGATGCATTTTTAGAAATTTATAGAATAGAAGTAAAAACATAGCAAATATGTCAATAATAAGTCAAAATTTGTGTTGAGAATGGAAGTAGAGGGTACATAATTAGTAGAAGAAAAGATGCTTCTAAATTAGGTTAGATACATACATTGATACATCCATTGACCATTACCGTCATTAAGCTAACAATATGATTGACTTAGTAATAAATTGTTACTAAAATATTTTTGCATTTTTTGATTTTACGATTCTTGAATAAATTGTATTACTAGTAGTGTTACCCATGACTCACGAGGAGTGACTATATCCTTACTATTTTCTAATTTTTTGTGATAAAAAATGACAATATGATTAGAAGGTGTGATGTCTACCATTGAACTCTCACTTGATTCTACCATTGAAATTTTACCAATATAAACTTTACTTTAATCTTAAAAAATTATAATTTTCAACTAACTATGATAATTTTTTTCTTACCAATAGTAGAAGCATTTTCGGATATACTTAGTATAAATAGATACAAGTAATAATTAAAAGGAATTAAAATTGCTAAAAACTTTACTTTTTGTATGCAACCTCGAACATAAATTACTTTTAAGCCCTTCACAAGAGCAAATTCAAATGGATAAAACGATGCGTTTACATCAACAATTCTTTTCTTGCAGAAGAATTTCTCAAAATTCCCACTATCTGGCAGCATATAATTAGCTCCGAGCCTCCAACCTTCCTGTTCTTCTTCAGTATCCATTTCCAATTGCATTTTTAGGAGAGAGAAAACTGAAAAAAATGGCATGTGTTCATGATCATAGCTGCGAAGATCACGATTGTTCAACTGATTGGTCTCTTTACAAACATATCGACCTCCCTAAGGTAAAATTAGTCTTTTCTATATTTATTTATTTTTTTCTTTCATTTTCTCTTTTATTCTGCTTTTAATTCCGTGCTCTAATACCCAGAATTTTGTTATCAATAATTTTTAGTTAGTTTAATGTAATTTGTGAAATACCCAGATTGAATTTATGGGGTTTTACTTGAATTATAATACACCCCATTAGTCTGAAATTGCTGGAAATTGTGTTCATAGTTCTGATACTTTCACTTGATACCCAGATTGATTGATTAATGATATTACCAAGAATTCTGTGAATTAGATGATGTACTAAGTAAGAGCTGTGAATTATGTTCTGGGTTTTCGATGTTTAGCTTGTTGATTTTATGAGGAGTTGTTATGGTGTGGAGCTTTGAAGAATTTAGGGGGTGTCACTATAGAATCAACTCTGGAAAGAGCTGATTGTAAATGGAACAACGTTAATCCAGGTTCGGAAAAGGTAGGCAATGTATGATGGTGTGTTTGTTGGGTAACGACTAACGAGCCTGCCCACCGGCTTCACTGGACCTAGAATTTATGTTAAAGCTGTCTAAGCATACAGTTGATCAGCTCCTGGGCTCAAGATTGAAATGAATTTGCAATGGTTTGTATACAGCTAGGAGGGATATAGTTTGAGCAAATTTCATGGTTAAACTATTATCCATGTTAAGGGTTATGACTTCATTTACAATGCAATTCGTGGTAAACCTATAGGTTCAATGACAAATCCATTCCTAGGTGTCTCAGACCTTGAATGCTAAGTTAGCTAGCCACCTCGTGTGGCTTTTCTGTGGCTATTAATGACTTGTCACGGTGTGTGTTAAAGACGGAGTGATTTGAAATTCAAATTATTATGTTTTGACATTATGCTTTAGAAAGAATACTGTGATTTTTAGATACTCAAATAGCTTTGTTATGATATCTTATTATTTATTATAGCAGCTTTATAATTATCATATCACAAAGCAGATTTCGAGCTAAGCCACTGATGCTAGGATGTACCAGATATAATTAAACCACTTGTTTAGAAGTATTGTGGACTTTCCTGAGTAGGTGAACTAATGGGATAATGCCTGAAGATTTTTGGAAAGCTTTATCTAATATAAAAAGAATTGGCAGATTACTAGTGGGGATTATGCAGGTCTTTAATGTCTATGTGTTTTTTCATACAAAGAGTCTATGGGCTTGAATATTCTTTTGCTTCAGATTACATGCCAAGAGCACCCTTTATTGATGAACAAGAGTAGGATTTTAATGCTGATGTCAAAGGCCATCTTAATTGATTGCAGCTGTTAGAGTCATACTTGTAGATTCTTTGTAAAGTAATTCCAGTGCCAAAATCAAACAGTGAATTTTATATTTGCTTGCGAGTGATTATGTTGCTGGCATGTGTATACCCTTTTGGTAGACGCAAAAGTTTTCTGATATGTAGTGTATATTGTATAATGCACATGTCAAAGGAAAGCAGTTTTAGGAGTCGTACATGTTCATGCTATATTAATTTCTCCAACTCCTTGAAGTGCCAATATCAAACAAGTATGCTATTTTTTTATGAGTGAACATGTGCTTGGCAGTTTGTCACTTGGAAGTCGTCAGTGCCATAATTCATGAAGGATTTGTATAGACTGCTTTTTTCTTAGACTTTAAGTCCTCAACCTCAGATGATTGCTAGACTGGGCGCTTGTCCATAAAAGTTAACGTCATAATTATAAATTTATGCAGGTCTCTGCTCTGAATGAGGCGATTCCAGGAAGGGCACAAAAGGTTTTCAGATCATGGGAGGAGCGTCTAAACTCTGCAGGGGTAATTACATCAGAAATTTTTGTTTGTGAATCGTGATATTAAGCTATCGTAGACATTTTTGTTGAATATATTATTTAGCTATTCTGTTTGAGTACCAATGTAGGTCCATCCATGCCATTGTTAGAGAATGTATTTATCTCATAGTTTCTATATGACTTGTCATGTAAGGTATAGTGGTTGCTTCTAAATTTCTGAACTCTAGAACTCAATTACTTCTTTGATTTCTTGAAGCACATGGCTGGGTCTATTTGTCCAAATTTCTGAACAACAACTTCTGTTTCTTGGAAGGAGTTCAATAGAAACAGTTTCTTCATTAACATTTATTAGAATTAGAAGTGTTTGCAAATGAAACTTAAGAAGTTCTTCTAAGAAAAAGAATCAGTTTAACTTTGTTTGGCCCATTGTATACAATTTGTATAACATATATCTTCTAACCACTTTTAATTTTGATAGATTATCTGTTAACCACTTAAAGCCAAAAGTAATACAGTATGTCGTAAAATATTTAGGCCTATTTTTCGTTATTTTTTCTACTAATTTGCTTAAATCTTAAATCATTTTTAAAAATCTATTTCCTTTTCTTTTCATTGTTGACATATTTGATTCCTTCATCCTCTTCTATGTGAACAAGTAACATTGGAAGCCATATTTCATACCAATTACCCACAATTCAATTTCCTCTTTTAATTTTAAATATAAATTTGGTAGCTGCTTAGTATATGATTATGCTAGCAAATAAATCATTTGCAAATTAACTTGAGAATGAGTGCGTATTGTCTGGTTACGGTTTCATCTATGAATTCCTGAATCTGATTTTTTTTAGCAAGTGGGTTCTGGATTTGCATGTTTTAAGCAATTACCATGTGCACTCAGCTTTCCTTAAGTTCCATGCAATGTATTCAATATATATAATAGACAGATAAAGTGAGTATAAGATTGTCATTTGAGTTTGATGCTGAAAATTTTCCATTGGGGATCTGGGGTTGACTTATCAAGGATAAGGGTGGCAAGGACATCATAAAGTTAGGTTTTATGATGTAACAGCCAGCTAATATGCATATATTTAGATTATTTTTTTGTTGATATTGTCCTTGCATCCAGAGAGGGGATATTGGAGTGCTTTCCCTCTCTCTCTCACCCCCCCCCCCCCATAATTGATTCATTCTATCCTTCTGATCTTGTCACTTCTCCAGTCACTGGGTTTTAGTTACTTGTTACCTATCTGGCTATCTTTAGTGTACTAGATGTTTTAGCAAGCATGAAGTTTAATAAAAGTCTTCTGTCTTCTTATTTGCACCAGGCATTCTTGGAAAGCAATGATGGTGATCCTGAGTTGATTGTTTTCATCCCGTGAGTAACATAGGATTTTCTTTTGGGGCATGTGTTAGATTGTTTGCTAACTTATGGAATCTTATTGTCAGATTCACTTCTGATGTCAAGATCAAGGGCATATCAATTGTTGGTGGTGCTGATGGAACAAGTCCTTCAAAGATGAGAGCGTAAGAATATTTTATACTCTCAGATGTTGTGGATTGCCTTAGTAATTTTGTAGGTTGTGAGTGCGAACTGGCGGCAATCTTATGATTTGTGTTTTTGTAGTACAAAGGCTTTCAGATAAAAAAATGATGAACTGATATGTCTTTGCTCTATAACATCCATAAGAAACTTCAATCAAAAGAAAATAAGCACTCAGTGCTGTCTTTCCACAGTAAACTGACAACCTCCTCTATATGTACTTTGCAATAATCCTTTGCACTGTTTCCTTGTGCGCTATGAATTTGAAATAAACATACTGTATTTTGGCCTTTCTAAAGGAAAACCTGCACTAGTGCACTTTGATTAGTTCACCCTATTATTTACATCATTTCAAACTCTGGGTTAAGGCTCCACCTCATGTTGAGTAAGGGCTTAGTTGAACCCAAATTCTTTACTTGTACTCCCTCTGCCCCTTATTTTTTGCCCCAATTTTCTTTTTCGTCACTTTATTTTTTGCCCCATTCTATTTTGGACATATGGGACCACACCTTTACTCTCACACCCACCCTATTAGCCCCATCACTTTTCTCTCTCATCATTAATTCCCGACCAAAAATTAATAAACATTACCCTTATGAGCAATAAATAAGGGACGGAGGGAGTAGTAAGTTAATTTTGATTTTTTTTTTTTTTTTTAAAAAAATAAAAATTTATGTAGATACCACTCATTCTGGATGATGACACAAATGTTTGAGATATCAAAGGCATGCCTAGGTTTTGTACTAAATGTTACACCTAGAAGGCTAAAGAAATATTTGGTTTACGATTGAATATTTGAATGTCAAAAGGTTTTTAGAATATACTAAATAAAACATGGGGAACCTACACAACATCTAAGGGGTTTTCATAGAGGAAGTGGAGGGATCCTTTTCTTTTTTCCTGGTTGCTGCTGCTGCTTCTTCTGTTGTGCGTCTTAAAAAGCTTAAAGCCATTATATTCTTCATCTGTCTTTGCATTGATTTCTTGCCACTATAGCTATTCTTATGATCTTGTTAATCCCCTTTAGGTTCATCAATCGAGAGGGCATCGATTTCTCTGATGCTCAAAGTATGCAAGCTGTTCAGGTATTTAATTGTTAAGGCAAGATGTCTGTTATATATTATAGGTTCTTTCTTCTTTTCTAATGCACCTTGTCTTGTCTCAAGGAATGGGACTTGGTTGAGAACCTGCAAGGAGTTTTGGAATACCAAACTAGGTGAGAATTTTGCTGATTTCATTAGTCCAGGTATGTGATGGTTGGAACGGCAAGATGCAATCTGTCCTCCCATTTCTGTTGCTTTTTGCTTCTAAATTGGCTTGATTTTGGCTGTTCCCTGACTATTGTAGCCCATTTTTTCTAATGAATGAACGAGGTTGTACAAGGAAATGTGACTTCTTGTTTCCTGTATCATTTAGCTAAATGATGTGGTTTTTGATAGTACATCATTGATAAAATTTTGTCAATTTTATCAATTTTGTCATAAGTACTTGTACTGACTTTTACTTCCATCATATCTGAAATGATATGTGCATAGGTTTGACACAATTGACAGTCTTGTTGTGACTGTGCTTTTTAAATTCTGCTGCCATTTCATGATATGTAAAAAACCTGATGTTCTGCTGTAAAGTCATCTCTAGCTGTCTTTGTAGCTTCTTGGCTTCTTGCTTTAACATATTTTGTCCTATCGTCTCAATATTGGGGTCTTTTCCATACCCCAAGCATTAGCAAGCTGTCCATACTCCATTACCAATGGTTTAAGTCAAAACTTGTGTTCAGGGCCAGACTTGTTGCTTACAACTAAGTGACCTAACAGTGTACTGATTTTGAATGAAAAAAAAATCATTTCTGCATCATCACGACTGTGTGTTTTTCACATTAAAGGAATACTTTTCTTTTAAGTATTGGTAGTTGGTACAACTGATTTTTATATCCGTGACTGCTATCTGTAGATTCATTGTCTTCATCATCTTGCATACTTGGTTTGTAATTAAAAGTTCTAATAATCTAACATTGCATGAGGCTGGCTATGTGGACAGGTATTCTAAATTTCAGAGTGTGGGCAATTTGACTTTGCACTTTCCTGACAACTTTGGAGCAGACACAAGTCAGATACACTACATTGGCTTGAAGGGTGAAGCAACTCAGGTATTATTGCTGCCATATATACAGAGCATTCATCAACTGCCTATTTTTAGATGATTTCGTTTTCTTGGCTAAATGACTAACACTTCTCGTCACAATTGATTTCAGCTGAAGAGAGATGTCGCTGTAAATATCGTTTATGAAATTATGCCAAATCCATCCGATCACAAGTAAGTCTTCTTTTCCTTTTGTCCGACTATTAGCCTGCTGTGTTCTTACAGTACAATTCAGTACATGGACAATGATGATTTCTTCCCAGGAATGCTAACCGATGATCTCTTCTGTCACCATGACGTGAAACTATTTTTCAATCTACATTACTTATAAAATTGGAACCCTTCATGATCCTGGACTCATGTGCATTCAAATTACAAAAGTTATGGCAGTAAATTAAAGTGGGATGAAAACGGAATTATAGATGTCAAATGAGTTTTCTCTGGTTTGGAATTTGGATGGAAACATGATGCAGTAAAACTGCAAATGTTTTCTCGACATTTGTGCTGCCTTCTAAATCCATCACATTTGTGCAGGACACGCGCTGAGACAGGAGGTGGCTTTTCGGAAGTGTAGTGAAGCTTCGGATATGTTTGGATTCTCTACCGCAACATCTTAACCCAACAGCCTGAACTGAGTGATGGTCATGATTTTTACTGTTGATGATCATCAATGGAGTTGCATAAATATTGTACATTCATGGTGGTGTCTTAGGAGGATTCTGGATAATTTTGATGGGGTTAATGCCTCCCATAGTATCTCTTATGTTCTTATAAGTATCTTAAAGTCCTAAACAAAATTATACCTGTTATCCCACTGGAGGGAAAAAGAGAGAGTTCTTATGAGAGTTATCTTTGCTTTGATAGTTCTGATTTATTCTCCTCAGCTTCTGAAAGCATATTTTTGATTCCATACTTGATTGTGTCGTATGTAAGTTGAATGTAACAGAAAATCTTGACCAAAAACCTTTACATGACGAATGTACATGTTAACGATCCACGTTTTTTTCGCATGGAAGTCATCTATTTTCGGGCTTTCTGCAATGTTTATATGAATAGGATGGTTAAAATCGCAAAAGGTGGTTGCGGCTTCCTTGATTAGGGAATAATGCTTTGCTTGTATATGCAGCTACTTTAATCCTATGTTTTTCAAAAGATATAAGAATATAATGATACTGTGAGGATGTAAACTCTACCTGAATTGTATGGTTCTGCATGGTCATGTTTAGCGATGTTGATGGACCTTGCGTGTGTCTAGCCTTGGTATCTTGCCTAACATGGGAATTGACTAACAATACAATTGAAAAAACTAATTTCAAGGGAACAAGTAACTATTGATGGAATTGAGAATGATAATGACATAATGTTAAGCTACATGATCGAGAATTTTTGTGATTATGCCTTAAGCTGTCATGACATCCCTTGTTTCAGACACAAGAACACAACCCATGACTCGTACTTTGTGTTGGCTGGATTTGATGTCATCAGGACTTTTGAAATGGTTTTAATTTTGCATACATTTATAGAACTGGCTGGATTTGATGTCAATGGATGTAATTTTGCATAGTTAAATGGATACAAGCTATTAGAGCAAGCTTGATAGTTTGGTCACTGGTAGACTACCCTCTTGGTAGGATTCGAACCCCATACCTCTAAGGTAAGAAACCTACTAAATAAGCTAACATTTTGTTGGTATATTAACTCAACAATTTTTAATTATTTATTTGCATTTTTTTTAAAAACGTAAGAAAAATAAGCATTGGAAGACTTCCTCACAAGAGGGATTCCTAATATAACACGGTTATGCCTTATGCCAATACGTGTATTCAAACTCGTGACTATTAACACTACAATTGAGATGAGATATTTTATTCTGAAAGAACAAATTGAAATACAGAGTAAATAAATAACAAAGTACATCCTAGTCGTATTTGAGTGTAGTGGTTTGAGTATAGTAAGTGCCCCTATGGTGGGCTTTGTTCAAGTTTTATTTTTGTTTTTGTTTTTTTGAGTTTAGTATGATACAAGTTGTTTCATGGCTAAAGATTTATACGATATCGAGAAAGAGAATGATACAACAAATTGATAGATCCCAGCGATATGAAAAGGCGATCGTAGCAGCTCTGCTAAAAGGATAAAATTGTCTCATACTAGAAATAGCCGTTCGGCACACTAGCCAAAAAAAAAGTATTCGGAATCAAACCATAACCGGCGCGCAAAGCCCCACGACGTTAGGGTTTTGAGCTTTTAACACTTTGACTCCCCCTAATACTACTTCAAACCACTCTACTCTTTCTCTGCCATTTCTTCTCCTGTTTCATTTCACTCGCTCAAACCTCAACCTTTCATCCGTTTTTTTCACTCCCCAAATTCTCTCTGCAAACAAAATCAAACATGCAAGCTTGCTCAGGAGCAACAACTCCATCAATGGTGGGTTCAATCCACCGCACCAAAATCTCTCCTTTCCCCTCTAATTTTCCTCAAAAAGGGTTTGATAATAATCTTACTTTTACTGATAGTTCAATCCAATTTTCAAAACCCCTTTCTCGATTTTCTTTTGTTTCTAATAGTTTGGTTACTGGTAGACCACCCTCTTCTGTCTCTGTTCCTGCTCCTGATATTGAAGGTTTGTTCTCTTTTTATCTTTTTGACTACTATTTGGATTTGTGAATGATTTTTACTATTGGGATTTCTTTCTCTTTCGTAATGGGAAGGACCCTATTGAACCGGAACCTCTCATGTGTCAACCCGGCTTATTTACGTTTGGGAGTTGGGACTGAGAGGGGGTGTTAAAAAATTTATTTTTGATTCCTTTATATGGTAAAGAGAATGACCCTATTGGACCGGGAATCCGTCTTGGCTTAGCTAAAGGAAATTATTTTCTTATTGTTAATTTTGGATTGGATTGTTGGTTGATGTTAATTTTTTGAGAAACATGCAATTTTGTATCTGGTTTTGATTTTTGTTTTGATAAAAAATTAGTTAGGCCTTTAGTTCCTGTGCCAGGATATAATCTTGTACATGTATAATGAGTTGGAGTATCATTTTGAATTTATGTATTTCCGGAGTTAATTCAATTTTTGTACTGTGTATGAAGTCATCAGATTGTCTGTAATCTGAATTTTTTATGGCTGTAATTATTAATTGCTAAAAACAAGATATATCAAGCTTGATTTCATTGTAATTTTGCTTTTGTTACTGATGAGTCTATGTGGACTGCTGAAAAATTATGTTACGATGTTACTGAAGACGAGGAGCAATCTAATGGTTCATTAATATATTTATTAGAAAAGGCTATTGATGGTCAGCAACATAAAATTATGATCATTATGAGTTAATATAGACATATTAAAGGGGTTTGGTTATTGGAGACGGAATGGAATGGAAGCAAAGAGGTGGGAAAGGAATCATCAAACTCTTACCTTTTCATTTTTTTGGTGCAATCATGGACACTTAAACTTAACTCCCTTCCTTTTTGTATGAGGAGGGTAAGGGTAATTGTTACCTTAGGGGTTAGAGAGGTGACAAATAGGTGGAAACCGTTACCTAGAGGTAAAGGTAATGTTACCCAAATCTTCTAACCAAACAATCAGTAAGCACATGTGGGAGCTGGGGGAAGGCCTTCATGCCGCTAGTGGATCTCCCAGGGAATGGCTTTCAAGGTAATAGTTTAATTGAATTCGTTTCCAACCAAAAAAATACGCTTACCAGGCATGCTCTAAACATGAGTTACGGTTGAGATGCATGGTTGTAGGAGTGTTCCTGTTTGCATTGGTGAATTTTGAGCCAATAGTTATGCAATTGATATCATAGAGTTCTCATCTTAGTGATTGGTAAGACTTAATAATATGAGCATGTGATAGTGCGATACTACAGTCTACAGACCCCTTCTACCAATCTCCCATTGCACGTGGTTTTTGGATGATTCCAAATTAGTGGAAATAATTTACTTAGTGTCTTTTCAGCTTTGGCTACTTTTTTATCAATAGTCACATCTTGTACTAGTGTCTCTGCACGCTTCAAAATTTTTGAATTAATATTTTGTGAAATTGCTGTGGAAGATGTCCTTGATATAATGGACAGATTGTGCTCAAGCATATTATTTTCTGGTGTATTTCAGATGATCTAACCAGCTTCAAAGATAGTGAGCTGAGCGATGCTGATCCAGAAGTGCACAGCATCATTGGAAAGGAAAAGGAAAGGCAATTTAAAAGTCTGGAACTCATTGCCTCAGAAAACTTTACATCAAGAGCTGTCATGGAAGCTGTTGGTTCTTGTCTCACTAACAAATATTCTGAAGGATTACCGGGTAAAAGGTAAGGCTTTTTGTGTGTCTCTGTTTTGAATTTTTTTGTCTTATGTTTTGGCCGTATTGGGACTTGATACTTTAAAACTTGTTCTGCCCTAGGTATTATGGTGGCAATGAACATATTGATGAGCTTGAAACCCTCTGTCAGCAGAGGGCTTTGGAGGCATTTCACCTGGACGGACAAAAGTGGGGTGTAAATGTTCAACCTCTGTCTGGCTCTCCTGCTAATTTTGAGGTCTATACTGCAGTTTTGAATCCACATGATCGTATCATGGTAAGCTATTCTCCCATGTCTGGGTTTACAGCTCATATTAAATTTTCTGTTCTTTGGTTCATTGCTCTTATATCAATGCATTTTTAACAATCCAGGGTCTAGATTTACCTCATGGAGGGCACTTGTCTCATGGTTTCATGACTCCTAAAAGACGAGTTTCAGGCACATCAATTTATTTTGAATCCATGCCTTATCGGCTTGATGAATCTACAGGTATTTTATTTTAAATTTTTTAGTGGATGTTTGTATTTGCTTTTGTGAGTTTGGTCTCTAACCGTTTTTTATCCGAAGAGAAGGTCTGATTGATTATGACATGCTTGAGAAAACTGCTACTCTATTTCGACCAAAACTCATAATAGCTGGTGCCAGTGCATATCCTCGAGATTTTGATTATCCTCGTATGAGGAAGGTATGTGTTTTGATATGGCTGTTTGAACACCCCCCTTCCCCCTCGGGCACACTTTATTTGCCTATAATTGATCGAAATGTTCTCTTTCAAATGCAGATTGCAGATGCTGTTGGTGCTTTTCTTATGATGGACATGGCGCATATAAGTGGGCTTGTTGCTGCCTCTGTGGTTGGTAACCCATTTGAGTATTGTGATGTGGTCACAACTACAACTCACAAGGTTTGTCTGGACGTGTCTTCATCTTACAGAATATTATTGGCAAACACCTCTAAATTTGATTTGCTATCTAAATTTATGATGAACTGGAATGTTATGTCTATAGAACTTCTGGAAAGTTATGGCCAATGTTTGGTTGATTAATTAAGGACCATGGTTTGCTTTTTAGGTTTACTTGCTTTGACACAGAATTGGTTTCGTTTTCTCGAAACCCTTTTTAGAAAATCCTAGTATCTTTCTTCAATGGAGTTTACGTTTTGCCAGTCAGTCTTAAGTAAAGTAGGAAAAGATAGCTCCTAATAGATATAAGTCGTTTTATTCCTGTGTCTAGTATCTTAAGTTGTGAAAAGACTTATTTAGATTCTGTCTTTTGCAAGGGAAAGGAAGCGTCATAAGTTCAGCTAACAGCTTAAACTTCTTTATATTGTGAAGATGTGTTTTTAAACGATAATGCAAGGAGGGGACAATTCATTCTATATCTTAAGTATTTTTTTTTTTAAAAGAAAAATCAAAAGTTATACTGTGTTTTTAAGTTCCCTTCCCTCTCCCTCCCCCTCCCCCTTCCTTCGCATGAGGAAGTACGTACAACTTTTGGTTTTGGCCAGAGAAGCACCATGAAGGTGTTATCCTATCCAAAATTATTTCAGCATATTGTCTGCAAAAATCTCTCTCGAATCAAATTTAGAGTTCGATGTTTCTTACTGAGTGTAATGCTTTTCAGTCTTTACGAGGTCCAAGAGGTGGAATGATCTTCTACAAGAAGAATACCATTTTTGGAGTTGATTTAGAATCTGCCATTAATAATGCCGTCTTTCCTGGCTTACAGGTGAGGAGTTGCTGTTCCTTGAATTCATCTTTTATTTTTTTGCCCCATTGTTTATCTCCATCTTGTATATCATTGTCAATTTGTCATTATTTGATTTGATTTAAAGATTTGGATGTCATGATTATTTTTTGCAGGGTGGCCCACATAATCACACCATAGGAGGACTAGCAGTTTGCCTGAAGTATGCTCAGTCTGCAGAGTTTAAGACGTACCAAAACAATGTAAACTCCTTGTTCTATGATCATACAACTCATAGTGTTAGAATATGCCTTGATTTGTATTTTGATCTTTTCCTCAATGAACAACCTAGCACAGCGTATGTTCTTATCTTTGTACTGATATTTGAGGGCCTAATGACTTGCAGGTGGTCTCTAACTGTAGAGCTCTTGCACGCCGATTGGTTGAATTGGGATACAAACTAGTCTCTGGTGGGAGCGATAACCATCTTGTTCTAGTTGACTTAAGGCCATTGGTAAGTTTGCCAAGTTCTTGAACCCCATTGCTAAGAGCTGTAAATCAATTCCTAGTTGTATTTGTTTAATTTTTAACAGTTTTGCATCACTTGTATTGTCCGTCTTTGCTAAGACTTTTGTTTAGAAAAAATCTTCGATGGCTCCATACTACAAGCGAGTCTCATCTTCTATTTTGTTTGACTGAAGTTGTTCTTTCTCTTTAGGGAACTGATGGTGCCCGGGTTGAAAAGATTCTGGACTTGGCTTCTATCACACTTAATAAGAACTCTGTTCCTGGTGAGTTGTTTTCAAAAACTTTAAAATTTTGTTCTCTCTCTCTCTCTCTCACTGGTTGCTTCAAACATTTGTGCTAAAATCTTTGGTTTTTGTAAATAGGTGATAAGAGTGCTCTAATGCCCGGTGGTATACGTATTGGGGCACCTGCCATGACAACCAGAGGGTTCAAAGAGAGTGAGTTTGTTGCTACAGCCGACTTTATTCACGAGGGCATCCAGTTAACTCTTGAAGCAAGCAAGTTAATTCCCAAAACAAAGCTCCAAGAATTCTTGAAGTTTGTGGCATCTCCTGACTTTCCCTTGAGAGATCGTTTATCAGACCTTCAGAAGAGAGTCGAAGTTCTAACCACCCAGTTCCCGTTGCCTGGATTGTGAAGGTTTTGATGCAAATTCCGTAAGGGTAGTATCTTATACCTAGATGAAATGATCCACAGTTAGAGAGAAGCATTGATGCTTGTGGTTATATCCCATCTGGTGCTGAATAACATGAAACTCTGACAAGTACTTGTATGCAACTGTATACATATCAGCACAGACCACAGTGTTTATTTGTTGTATCCCTTATATCAAGAAGGGCAATTCGATAAGTTTTGCCCGTATGTGAACTTCTGTGGTGATATCTATGAACCTTAGAGCTGTAATGTGGTTACTGGAATTGTTCTTATGTAAGTGATGGTTTCACCTTAACCATTTTGGGTTCCAAAGTCAATAGTATAAAGGTCATAACAACAGGTTATAAATACAACAGGTGTTACGTGAATCGAATTTGGAATACTTGCTGTACCTAGTGTTGCAGTTTTAATCACTAGTCCCCGTCTTTTTTCACAAAATGATGGTGATTAAGAGGAAATTGAACTAACCTCAAAGGTCCATCTAAGCTAAGAGGCTTACATGTTGCTGTTTTCTTTCTTGAATGAGTTGGAACTTGGAAGGGCCGTCTAATTAATTTGTAGTATTGATTTGATTTAGAATCTACAATGACCGAGCTGATTTGGGAATGGAGGGAGATATTATATGTTGCTACATTGCCTACATAAGACCATAAGCATGAAATTATATCTCCCGGGTGCTAAGAAGATTGTCTAGTCACAAATTGAGTATGATTTATAATATGCTTATGTTTGGATTAAAATTGAACATGACATTTCTTCGCAATAAACATACGTAGTACAATTTAAATGCACAACAAAAACAATCATATTCATTCAAATAAACTTCATATTCATCAGGTGTTCGGTCACTTTGTAGCATCATATAATAATGTGATTTACATAGGAGCTAAACTATTTTTAATTAACTGAAGGACATCCCAGACAAGGGAATACTCCACCCAACAGACTTGATTCGGAAAACATTAGATTTAGATATAGACTTGTTAGGACAAAATAATATAACATGTCTCAAATTTAAAAACAGACTCGATCTGATCTGCTTTCGACCCGACTTCATCGAACCTGACCCAAATACCCGAATTGACACCTCTAAATAAGCATAGCGTATGTGGACAATGTGGCCAGTGGAGGACCCACATGTAGTCATCGTGAGTCTCAGGACACAGTATTATTTTATTAAAAAAAAAAAAATTATTTCTGATCTTATTTTCTTTTTTCCCCTTAAGATTTATTTCACGCTTTGCGCTTTCTCGCTGTACTCCTTCCTCTCTTTCTCTCTCTCTCTCCTCCATTGAAGCGTACTCGAAATTCTCCATTGAAGCGGCTTCTGAGCTTTCCCTCCTCCATTGAAGCAGTCTCTAAGGTTAGATGCTTCTTTTTCTTTAATCATCTAATATTAATTTTGACAATCTAGTGTTAATCGTGTATTTAATTGTCAGTATATACTCAATTTAGAGTTCTTCGAAGTTGGATAAATGAACTATTGGTTATGGATACTCGAAGAATTTAACGTAATTTTTGGAGTCTAGTTTGATAATTGAGTCAATTTTGGTTGCTAATGTGTTGCGGGGTTTGGTTTGTGTAACTCTTTAATGTCAGGATGAAAGTCATGAAACCATTAAAGTTGCAATTTCCATCGAATTATTGGTCAATTGAGATGTGAATTTGTGAATTGTAGTTTATTTATTTTATTTATAGGAAAAACACAAATTCACAAATTCCGAGGGGCGGGGGAATGGTTTCAGGGGTAGGGGTTTCGAGTCTACGGCGTTTCGGGTCAGGGAAAGGGATGAGGGTTTCGGGTGGGGAAAGGGATGGGAGTTTAGGGTGGTTTCGGGTTGGAGAATTCAAGTTTTGGGCGGTTTGGTTGGTGGGGCTGGGGCGAGGTGTCTATTGCGCTCATGTGGCTCTGGAAGGAGGGTGGTTTCGGTGGTGGTGCAGGGGGAGGGGGTGGCTGTCGGGCTGGGTGGGGACTTGTTTAATTAATTTTTTTTTATATGGTTCTATACTTTAATACTTATATGTCTTAGTAGCAAACTAGCAAGAATTATTTAGATTGATTTATCTAATTCAATCTTTTACTTCAATTTCAGAATGAAAAGCAAAACAACTCGAGATATTTCAAGTTTTTTTACTATAAAAGTGCCTACTCTAAATCCTCCTCCTCCACAAAATGATATTCCTCCTCCACAAAATGATCTACCTTCTCAAGAAAGTGAACCAAATCCTCCTTCACTACAAGAAAATGAACAAAATTCCCAAGAAAGTGAACCAAATACTACTTTACATCATGCTTTGACTATTTTTTGATATTATGGGACAACCTATTAATCAAATCCTAGATCTGCCACTGAATGTGGCAATATATTGGTCTAATATGTTTTTTTAAGGTTATTTTGACATTTGACTAACTAACAAAGTAGTGTAACAAAGAAAAAATAAGGAACTTGTTCAAAAGTGGTGTTACAGAACCTCATCCACAAATCTCCATTTTACTTCAATTCACAGTTTACACGCAACAGAGCTGCACCGTTGCTAGAACACTACTGTGAGCTTTCTCTTCTCTCTCTCCTCTTGATTACTGAATTTCTCCTTGTTTTTGTCTTCAAAATTTGATTCAATTATTGCTTATTACGTATGAACTTCAATATCTTAATTAAATCCAAAAAAAAAAAACACATTTAGCTGTTAATTTTAGTATATATATAACCTAAATATTGATACCTGTGCTGAATTTGTTTGAGTTTCATCAATTTACCAATTTCAAATTCCAAGATTTTGGTCGATTTTCGGTTAAGAAATTTAATTATGTCATATGCCGTAGTTTACTTGATTGTATGATTGATGAAGTATAAATGTATAATTTGGTTCTTTTGCTTGAAAGACTAGGGTTTTAAAATATAATTTGGTAATTGGAATGCAAATAATGCGATTTGAAGTTGTCATGTAATTTAGCATATAATGGAGAAAGCCAATTGAATTTGAGTAGATTAAAGGAAAATGGATTGTGAGTATTAGTTGTTCGTTTGTTGAACAAAGAACGGAGAGGTGTCACGGAGTCTATGAGGAGTTATGATGTTAGTTGATCGATCACGCATTCGGGTAGTTAAAATGATTAGTGAATAATTGCTGGATTAAGTGTGTGAATTGTGATATTTGGAACTTAAACTGTTATATAATATATACAGTATGTTCCAAGGAGTGCAGAATGGGGATAGAAATTCCAAGGAATGCAGAATTTAGGGTCTGGTAGTGTTTGCTCTCGTATTTTAAGAATTTGGCTATTCTCTAAGTTTGCATCATAGTAAAGACTGCAATAGTTTTGCTTGATACTACCTCCGTTTCTTAAGGGGTTTTTATATGAGGGAAAATTTGTCAAATAACATCTTTTATAACCCTTTTGTTGTGAAAAACCACCTTATAAATTTTTTTGGTTAAAACACACCTAAAACCAGAATTTTTTTGCGAGAACACACCTTAGGGTGGTTTTAGGGGGATTGACTCGGTTTTCCGACGTTAACCCTCACGTGAAGGTCATGTGCCGAAACCCTTCCTTTCTTTTCCCCCCTTTTTCCTCCCATTACTTTCTCTCTCCTCAAAACCACCAAACCACAACCTATCCAACCCAGCCGCGGACACTGACACCACCGCCTAGCCAACCCAACCGCCGACACCACCACCCCCACCTAGCCGCCATCACCAGCCACCCAAATCATTCCAAACCCACCATGTACACCATCCATCACCCTCCAAAACCACTAGACCCACCATGAAAACTACCCAAAAAACCCTAAGCATCTCCATATACACCCCTAACCACCTCGTAAACAACCCCAAACATCTTGTCAAAAACCCTTCCCCTAAAACAAACCAATAGAGAGAGAAGAGGGTTGGTAGCGGTTTTTTCCCTTTTCATACCTCCAATTGAAAACCCTAAACTAAGGTAAATAAAAAACCGATGAAATTAACAACCAACTTCATAATTTTAACAACTTACCTGCCTTAAATTTAGGTTGATTGAGGTTCTTTGCAGCAATTTGAGCAAAACAATGGAGTTTTCCTCTTCAATTGATAGAATTCAAGGGTTGCTAGGAAGAACAGAGGAGAGAGAAAGTCTAATTAGAGGGGGAAAGGGGAAAAAAAGAAAGGGAGGGGTTTTTTCAGGTGGGTGGTGATGGAGCTGAGGATAGGTTTTTCAGGTGGTTGTGATGGCGGTTGGGGTTGGCTAGGCGGTGGTCTTGGTGGTTTTGAGGAGAGAGAAAGAAAAAAAGAAAGGGTGGGTTTTACTTCTGAGCGAGCATGTGATCCTCACGTGTGGGACAACGTCGGGAAACCGGGTCAATCCAATGAAACCAGCCTAAGGTGTTATCTCACAAAAAAAATCTGGTTTTAGGTGTGTTTTTAAAAAAAAAAAAAAATTATAAGGTGGTTTTTCACAACAAAAGTGTTTTAAAAGGTGTTTTTTTTGACAAATTTTCCTTATATGAGACATAAAATATTCTTGTGTTGCAAATAATGAGAAACAGAGATTCCGTATCAAGATAAGCTTATTGGATGATAGTAGTTCTGTGGTTAGTAATGTTCCCCCCTAAGTTAATGTTGCCAAGTGAAATGGTTAGATTCTCGGTGTTGCACATCTATTAAATTTGACACTGAGATTTCAGCTTTCTGATTCTTCACCGGTGCTTGTAGGAGGCCCTGCTGCCACAGATGGCTGCTTGTGTTTCTCCAAATTTGGTCAGTGGTCAGAGATTCTCTCCTATTGGTAATTTCAAACACTCTTCTCAGATTCTCTACAAATCCCCTAGGCCATTTCTACTCAGACCCCGAAGACTGCCATCGATTGCGTGCCAAGCCGACCCTACTCCCTCAGATTCTTCTCCTGTAACGGTAGGTATATCTGAATGCTAAAACATGTAATTTTAATTTAAAAACAATTCATTGCTTCTTTGTTTGGCATCTTCAGTTTCTTAGAAACATTGCTAACGTTTAAAAATTATTTCAGCAACTTTTTAGTGCAGCAGGCCACACCGTGTGGCACCCGAGTTATTTTGTTAGGGGTTACCCGAGTTATTCACTCAGGGATTACTCGAGTTACTCGGTCAGGGGTTACTTGAGGGGTTAGGACAGGGGTTACTCTATGGGTTCAGTCGTTGAGGGGTTAATCGGTAAGGGGTTAATCGGTCAGGGGTTACTCGAGTTACTCAGTTAGGAGTTACTTGGTTAGGGGTTACTCGGTCATGGGTTACTCGAGTTACTCAGTCAGGGTTACTCTAGTTACTCGGTTAGGAGTTATTTAAGGAGTTCGGTCAAGGGTTACTCGAGTAATTCGGTCAGGGGTTACTTAAAGAGTTCGGTCAGGGATTACTCGGTTGGGGGGTTACTTGAGGGTTCAGTGAGGGAGGGGTTCGGTCATGGGTTACTCGAGGGGTTACTCGGTCAGGGGTTACTCAGTCAGGAGTAACTCAAGTAACCCCTGACCGAGTAACTCGAGTAACCCTTGCCGCACGGTACAATAGGCCGCATACAAAAAATATTGTTTTTTGCCCACATACTTGCTGTAGAAACTTAAAAAATTCTTGTTGTAACGTAGAGGGGAGCCATGTTTATAGAAACTTAAATGGATTGGTCTTTGTGTACTGTTCAGCATTTATTAAGGTTGAACATTTGGGAATTTTCTGGGCTTCAACAAAGAAATATTGCAGACATGTTAGAATTAATATTAGGTATAGCTTCTATTAGCTCATAGATACTGATAATGCCAAATGGATTACTGTCATAAGCTGAGGTGGTTTGTAATGCTAGCAAATTATTATGTTGTTGAATGATTTTTGGTATTTTCTTGGCACTGTACAACTTAAATCATCAAGTCCTTAGTGCTAGTCATAAGTTCTATTTCGGTGAATTTTTATGGAACCTTGTCTAATTTCATAAGTGTTTCTTAGTGGCTAGCCAAGGTTCACTATTGATTCTTACTCATTTCACATTTTCCCTTCCAATTCATTAGCCAACTGCATGAACAATGTTCTGGTTAGCAATGTTTTAAACCTACAGTGGAAAGTCTGAAACATTGAAGTCTTGATCAGCAAGAAGATCAAGCACTTTCTGGCTCTTGTTCTAGTTGTGATGGAAAAATTGGAAATTTACAACCTTTTTCACATTTGACTCTGTGACCACTGCTAGCTTATATCTAATTCTACTATTCTCGTATATTAAACCTTTGTCCAGGAGAAGCCACCTGCTGAAACTAATTCAGTCAATGAGGAATCAGGTCAAGTTGTGACTTCTTCCACTGGTGCTAGCCTTCCTGAACTTCCAACCAAAGAAGTGAACAAGAGAATAGCTGTGTTATCCACTGTTGCGGCTTTAGGGCTTTTCTTATCAGCGCGTTTAGATTTTGGCGTTTCATTAAGAGACCTCACTGCCTTGGCATTGCCTTATGAAGAGGTTTGTCTTATCTGTTGTGTTACTTCCTTTAGTTGTCTTTAAATTTTATCACTCTTTTGCCTACTATATGTGCCAAAGTAAATGGTAAATAAATATAAAAGCTATGTCTTGGAGCTTACTAGTCATTAGAACTATTTTTGAATGTCTGGCAACGTAAACCTGTGAATACTCTGAAGCTTTGTTTCAACTCAAGTATTTGTGTCAAATCGTTGAGTTGGCAGGATAAATGAGTGTTAGACCCTTCTGCCCAAAGATAGAATTTGAAGACGTCCCTCTTAAAACCTCAACTTTAAACACTCTCAACCATGTCTCCATACCTCTTTAAGCTGAGTGTTTGTCTGGTTGTCTTGAAAAAAATGGGAAGTGGAGGAATGTGGAGTTATTTGGTTGGGAAGAACATAGCAAGTTGCTTCCTAGGAACTTTCACTTCCCACGAAATAGAAGAAGCTGCTTGCCTAGGTCCCGAGTGGAAGTTCAGATAGGAAACATACCTTCTAATGATTAGCCACAATAATGGGCCACAATTGTAGTTTATATTGTCCCTTTAATTGGCCGTATTGTAAATTTAGTTTTTTCTTTTATTGAATTTTCCTGTTGTACCCTCAATGATACCTTAACAAACGTATTTCAAATATATATTTCATCAACATGGTGAAGTGGTGTAAGTTCTAATAATGAAGAATAGTTATAGTAGTTTAACTCCATTCCTTAAAAAGATCCCCAATCAAGGGGCATTGAGGCCATTGACAGCCTCCTAAGATCTAGGTCCTCTTGAAGGACTCTCAATAAATTAGAAGGTAGGGGGGGCCACTAAGAATTTAGCACAACAATGCCATTACTGAACTTAAACTTGATGCTTTTGAATGCAAGTTCACGAAACAAAACTAGATTGAGGCATGAATATCTAATACCTTCACTTAATTTTAAAGTCGAGTGCATGAACGCTTTTTTCAATAAATTTTTGTGAATGAACTACACCATATTACAGCTTAAAGTCTGACAATGAAAAAAATTGATGTTTGGCGTGTTTCACAATGTTCAATTTGGCTTTCAGTGGCTTATTATCCATTTTCGCACATGGACGTTTTTGTTGTATAGGCTTTATCAAATGGAAAACCAACAGTTGTGGAGTTCTACGCAGATTGGTGTGAAGTATGTAGGGAACTAGCACCAGAGGTATACAAAGTTGAGCAACAGTACAGGTGAAATTTTTTCTTTGTTACTATTTTTCCTGAATCACCTTGATTGTTGCTCTGGTTTGTGAGTTGCTTTACTATGTTAATGACCTTACTTTCGTAATGAATTCTCTCAGGGATCGTGTTAACTTTGTGATGCTGAATGTTGACAACACAAAGTGGGAGCAGGAGATAGATGAATTTGGTGTTGAGGGCATCCCACATTTTGCATTCTTGGACAAGGATGGCAATGAGGAGGGGAATGTGGTCGGAAGGCTTCCTGGACAATACTTGGTGGAAAATGTGGACGCTCTAGCATGTGGTAGAGAATCTATTCCTCATGCTCGTGTTGTTGGGCAGTATTCAAATGCAGAGGCTAGAAGGGTTCACCAAGTTGCTGATCCTAGAAGCCACGGATAAATTTTGCCATGATGAATATTATTGATATTGTACTATATCATTGTACATCCATGAGGTACTATTATACAAGTATTGTAGATTATACATCCGCTAGTTCCATTAAATGTTTATATGGGATCTGTAAAAATTTGCATTAGCAAGATAGTTTTATTTTATTAACACTTCCCCCTCACAGAAGTATACTTGGTTAGAAATGGTTGTATTAGTCTCCTCTTTCACATTCAAGTGCCGTTGTTGGGAATGGCATCCTGTCAGATGCTCATGTTGCTTGAATTAATTGCAAATGTTGAATGTATTCCAAGTAACCATAGTTTCCTGCTGTTTATCGAGGCTCATACACAGCACAGTTATTCATATTCGTATATGTCATTGGATACTGCTGTAAACCTGTAACTCATGCGCAAGCCTTTTTTTTTTTTTTTTTTTTTTTTTTTTTTTATAGTTGATTTGTTAGAGACTAATTGTTTACTTTCTTGTGGTGATCAGCCCTAAAATTGTTTATTTTCTGGAGTAATGAACTGCTATCTGATTCAAGCCTAGGTGCAACATTCTTATAGCAGAGCTTCCTGTTGCAAGTTTTTAAGAAAGCTGAAGTGTGAATTCAGTCAAAGGGAAAGGGAGCTAGGGTTTACTTGGCAAAATTGGCTTCTTTTTGTGGATCCTAATGAGATTTCACTAACTAAATTACTCGAACTTTAACATCTACCATTAGTTGTATAACATGGGTGATTGTAGTAGCAACTTCACTTCCTACCTAAGGGTTCCAAAATAGGATATCTCTGTGCTTACTTGTAGTTGAAATTTTTTTACATATTACCAAATGAGCCAACACTTTGTTGGCGAGTATAATTGTACTGCAATTCTTTGTCACACATACAATCAAACGCCGGTATAAGTGGTGGGACATTATCCAAAATAAAAAATTACAACCCAAAATAATAAATAGGGCGGAAAATACTAGTTTAGAAGTAAAAACCCGAAGAGAGCCTCGTTGTTCTGTACTCGTACTAGTGCAGACAGTGCAGTGGTGCAGTGCTCTGTTAAAACAAGGTATTCCTGCTGCATTTTCCGTACTTTTTCTTCGACGCTATCACACTGCTCTTCGGTAACACTCTCTTCTCTCTTTCTCTTTCTCTCTCTTTCTCTCTCCTCTTTAATTTATATTTTGTATTATTTATTCTCTGAAATTGCCCATTTATTTTCACGATGATGATTCAAAACCCTTTGAATTGATTTGTTCTCTGTGATTTGGGGACTATTTTTGGTTTTTCTGTAAACATGTTGTAATTTGATTGCTTAATTCTTTATTTATTTGGTTTTTGTTATTTTTTTTATGCGAAATTTTTGTTGATTGGCATTTTATAAGTTGAATTTCCCTTCTGAATAACATTGCCTGCTATGTGTTCGATTAAATGCTGGGTTGTTGGTTTCAAAAAAAAAATGCTGGGTTGTTGATTTGATTGAATTTTGTACATGGGTTTTGTTGATTTGTTGCGTTCACTGTATTTTTATTATTGTTATTATTTTTTAATATTTTAGGTTTGCTGAGAATGAAGCTTAATGATGCCCTTTAATCTCAGTATTAGGTTTGTCAGGGTTGTTTTTAGTGATTATAATTTATAAATGCTCCGAATTGGCGAATTGACTGTTATCGTTGTTTGGGGTTGATTGAAGGGAAATTTTATTGGGTTGTTTGCACTTGTTCTTAGGGTATACTATTGTTTGCTTAATGGAAGTTTCTTTCAAGAGCAAAATTTGACAACCAGTGTTGTTGATAATTTTCTGTTTGAGTAAACAAGATAGAAGAGTAATCAAAATGTGTGATTGAAATATGACAAGTACGTTTTTTTATTTTTTTTTGTGTGTTCTTGATTGTTATAGAGAATTAGGTCGAAATTTGAATGTTAAAATTCATGGTGAAGAAGGATTGCCTTGTTTTGATTGATAAGGTAGCCAGCCACTTGATTTGTAAGCTTGTTTTTTGTCCTTAAGAGGTACAGAAGTCTTTTGTCAATCAAGAGCGCTTAGAAAAGCATATTTTATATGTATAGTTATGTTGATTGAATTGCTGAAATTATGTTAAAGAAAATATATATACTTGGGATTTTAAGGATTCGAGGAATATGTGCAGGTCATATTGGTGTTTAGAGTTTAGCAAATCGATCACCATGTCGATGTCTAAAGGTTCGAAGATGGCCCAGTTTATCAATTACCGTATGCGTTTTATTATTCAAGATGAGCGTCAGCTTGTGGGAATATTCATGGGTTTTGATCGTCACATGAACATTGTCATTGGTGATTGTGAGGAGTTTCGGAAACTGCCTTCCACTAAGGGAAGCAAATCCAACAAAACAGACCTTAATGAGGAGAGAGAACGACGTACCCTTGGCCTTGTCATCCTTAGGGGTGAAGAGTGGATCTCCACGGCTGTTGAAGGTCCTCCTCCTCCTGACAAGTCACGTACCAAGTCCATGAGTGCCAGTGCCAGTGCCGTGCCAGGTTCTGGTCTTGGCCGAGCTGCTGGACGGGGTGTTCCAAATGCATCTCTTGTTCATGCTCAGCCTGGTTTGGCTGGTCCAGTTTGTGGTGTTGGTGGTCCAGCTCCGGGCATGATGCAACCTCAGATCTCTCGACCACCAGTTCCAGCTCTTCAGTTCTCGGCTCTTGGGATGACTTATCCAAATGCACCTGTGATGCGACCACCAGGTCAGAAGATCCAAGGATTCCCACCTCAAAGCGGGCCACCACAGATGCCTCTGAGAGGCCCACCTCCCCCGGGGCAGTACCCTCCTGGTTCAAGGCCTGGTTCAGCTCCGCCTGGGCATTTTCAAATGCCTCCTCATTATGCCCAGCGTCCTGGCATGCCTGTATTACCTCCTCCAATGATGTGTGGCCCGCCACCTCCTTCCAGACCTGGCATGCCACCACCTCCTGGGGGACAAGTGCCAGTCTATGGACCTCCTCGTCCAGGGATGCCACCACCTCCAAATTCTCAACAGCCACCTCAGAATCAGCGGCAGTAATTACACTACTGCAATGCTTTGGGTATGTTTGCTGCTATTTGATTTTAATCTACATATATGCTTGAATCAGCAGCAGCAACTTTTTTCCGTTTGCTTGCATGAATCATTGTCTTTATCTCTGACAAGTCAGGAATGTGCTATGAATTAACATAGCTTTGGATATAATTTACTTATTGTGCACTACCTTAGTTTCCCCTTCCCCTAATACGAATTCGAATGGAATAGGTTTGCGGAGTTAGTGTTAAACTTCTTAAGGATGAAGGTAACTGCTTTGTGACTCAAGAAATGACTTTTATGAGTATGATATGTCCTTTAAGACTATTCCATGATTTCCATTCAGTAATATTGGCGTTCCCTAGTTGTTCAATATTCGATAGTATAAGATTGGAGTTTGGTTTTCGATGTTGTTTGCACTTGTAGACCTGACATTATTACAAATGATTTGTTTTGCATTTAAAAGCTTGTGTGAAGTTTGTGAATGATAGGCATTGACACTGGATACCTGCTTAGCCATATTTGATTTTGGTGGAGTTGGTCATTTGAGAGGCAATAGTAATATAGAGAAGCAAATGTTGCATAGTGTTATCTTTTATTGCCGTTCATTTGGTGAAGAATATGGTTTGTGCAATGAAACCTGGGGCAGAAATTAGTTTTTACTTTATGAAAGCGTATTTATGTACCGATCTAGCCCTTTTTGTCTAGGATATGAAGTAGGCTTGATTTTAATTGCATTAAAAATATTAATATGCTTTGTTGTTGTTAAGACTAAGGCTTTGTTGCTGTTGTTGTTTTATACTTGTATGCTTTGGATGTTATCAATTGTTTAACTACTCAAGTAAATATTTGTCCAATTTGTATTGGATCTTGATGTCAAAAGGTTTTATTCATTTCTCATAGTTTCTCAAGCTCTCTTGCTTTGACCCCTTTGTATGTTCATATGGTGTTACGCGGCCTCACCATGTCAGATTAATGACCAGTTTTGGGTTCTCAATTCTCTTTGCCCCCAAAGTTGTTATATATTCTCATTTTCTGATGCATTTAGCCCGGGTCCCCTTTTGTTGGGTTGTTACGCTACTTATACCAACTTTCAAGTAGGAAACTCTACTAGTTTTGCCTAAGAAGGAAAAAGTTGCGGTTGTTATCCAAATTATGTCATTATGTTTTGAAATTATATTAGAAAGGCTATGATGGAATAAATGCAATTGTAAAAATGTGTAGCATTTGTTTTTTTCTGGTGTCTGATTCTTCATAATCGGATTTTTACATTTGTCACGTATGTGGTCTGGCAGGTATTCTAGGACGATGATTAATTCGCAGTGCAGACTTGTGTTTTCCCTGTCTGGTCCTATGATAGGAGAGGAAGTAACTTTTTCGGAGCGTGTTACCGTTGCTGAGCTTGCTCATTGGATATATTAGGGTAGTGTTTCGCACCTCTAGATATAGATTCGTTTGTGTAGATTTTACTAATTTTATTTTTCTTAAGAGGGAACGGTTATCTATCTGCTGATTCTTGTCTATTTTGCTCCATGTTTGTTAATGAATGAACTTTATTCTCTTCAAAATAACAATAATAATATTAAAAGGCAAGTTCATTATAATAATAACAAGGGTAATGGCCGTAATGCTATATGTAACCCTTAGGGCTGCATATAAGCATTAAATACACTTTTGAAAATTGTATAAAATTAGGAATTTATGACAAAAACACGCGTAAATCAGTGTAATTAGTGTATTTTTGTCATGATTTTCTAAATTTAAACAATTTTCTAGAGTATATTTAATGCTTATATATAGCTTTAAGGGTTATGTATAGTATTTTCCTAATAATAATAATAAACGAAGTTTACCTCTGTAATGGTAAGTTACTTAGTTTTTCAAAGGGCTTTCACCTCTCTGTCGTCCTCTGAGTCTTTAATAAGGTCAATCCATGTTTGAGCAAAACCAAGTTGGAGAGCTATTGTCTGTCATGGACGCATACTACACAATTAAAGATTGAACTGGTTCTATCTATATTATGACTCTAGTCCAAGAGTCAACCACAAGTCGCTCTCCATAAAGAGTCAACTAAGAGAAACTCAACAGCTTTATTATTCAGGTAGATATTAATACTTTTGATTTTTCTTCTATGAGAGCCAATTGGAGAGTACTAATGTCCCCCTAATGAGTAATCATATACTTCTTATAAACTATGATAAATAGAGTTTAAATTAATACAAGTACTTCCCTCGTTTCAATATGATATTTTTTTGTATTATTTACTTTCTACAACTATCGAGCAAAATATTGTAGAGAAACAAAGAGACTGATAGAGTAGAATCATATAAGTAAATATATTTGAAAGAAAATTGTTACTAGGATAATTTTTAAGGGGCGTTTGGTGTGAATATTGGAAAAGAATGAGAAAGAAAACAAATAAGATGGAGGATTGGAATCATTTAACCTTACCTTTTCATTTGTTTGGTTTAACTATGGAATAGAATCACTTAACTTAACTCCCTTTATTTTTGTTTGAGGAGGGTAAGGGTAATTGTTACTTAGATTTTAGAGAGGTAACAAATGGATGGAAACCACTACCCCTAGGTAATGGTAATTGTTACCCAAACCTTCTAACCAAATACTTGGTAACGGTAATGCGGTGCATCCCTAGCACACGTCGCTGAAAAATAACGTAAACGCAAAACGACCCCTAAAATGAGACACTTACATTAATTTTTTTACCAATTCCGAGCTCAATTTAGGTCCTTAGGGGCTAAAATAACCCCCTATAACTTTAACGGGATATTTTTCAGCACGCAAATAAAAAAAATAGGATTGAGTGGCAATTAATAAGTTAGTAGCACTTTTGGTTTCAATTTTTTTTGAATGACTGCAATTTGCAAAATACTCCTCCGTCCCCATTTGTTTGTCACTTATGTCATTTTAGGTGCCCAAAATGTTAGTCACATTTCACATTTTCAGGTGCCACCCAACAAAAGTATTTAACAAATATGCCCTCATTTTTTTGTCTTTAATACCTGTGCTTCCCAAAGTGCCCTTATATTTGCTCATGTACTTGTGCCTTATTTAATTCTTGGTTTCCATTGAATTTTGTTACTCTGACCAACTTTTTCGACGTTATTTTCTCTATCTTCATTTCTTGATCTACACTTCACTCATTTTCTACACTCTTCCACTGAAGAACCCTAGTTTTTTTTTCATTATCTCTCTTCAATTTCAAATTTTTGGGGCCGAAAATCGTGGAAAAAATTTCTGGATCGGTGCTCTACTGGTTCAAACAGATCAAAGCCCTCAACTAATTTTGCGAATCCTTGGACTTTTAAAGGTGCTAGGTATCGTTCTTGTTCTTTGCCTCCCTTTGTGTTTGTTTTTACAATTATTTTGCGAAAAAATTGCATTTTTTTGTTGAGTATTACGGTAAATACAAATGTTTGGCATGGAAAATGATTTTGTCAAAGTGATTTTGGTTTTGGTTTGTCGATATTGTGTTGATTATGTGGGCTTCTTGATGAATGATGACTGATTATGAATTTGTGGGTTTTTCATAAATAATCGTTGGATTCATGAATTGCTATGATCTTGTTCTAGGGTTTGACTGTTTATTTGATTTAGGGTTTCGGTGTTCATTTGATTTAGGGTTACATTGTTCATTTGATTTAGGGTGTCACTGTTAATTTGATTTAGGGTTTTAATGTTCATTTGATTTAGGGTTTCAATGATGAGATGACCTAGGGGCTCACTATATCCATTGACAGGTTTATATCATGATTCCTCTTGTTTGAATGTTTCATGGATGAAACAGAAACAAAGGATCCATGTATTTACCTTTCAAAGTGATTGATTTTCATTGTGAATGTCCCTATAAAGGTCTTCCTCCAAAGAATGTGAATGGCTGCCTGGTTTTTTATGTTTCATGATCAAAACTCTTATGTATATGCATTGTTTCCTCTCAAGTGTTCCTATTTAAGTTTGGATTTAAGTGTTTGTGTTAATGTTTGTGGTTCAGGCTGCCTGTGTTAATGAGTGAGTCCCCTAGTTCAGAAGAATCACACTCTCATCACACCCAAAACTATGAAATGTATAGAAAGCAGAAGGCTTATAGGGATGAAGTTGATAAACCAGCCAAATCTCATGCCAAAATCCCCTTGGAGAAGCAAACTAGTTCACAAATTGACAGGTTGTTTGCTGATTCCGGATCACACTATACCTCTGAGACATACCAACCAATGCACTGATGGTGATTGTGAATTAGGCACTAGATGTAACGGGGAGCACAGTTACAACAATGAGACTAAGCGAATCAGGTTTGGCACTGTCCCAAAATGCATGTCACCTGCAAACTCTGACTACTGGCCTCATAATTGGAACAGAAGGCAAGCCAGAAAACATGGTTTGCTAAGAAGCTATGACAATGTTGATTCTGATTTCTCAGACTCCAATGATGATGGTGGTGGTTGCTCTCTCTAAGAAGCCTGTGTCCCTCAAAAAAGATTTTGATAATGAATCATAGAGCTAATTTTTAGTATGTCTTGTCTTGTTTTAAGTTTGGACAGATTTGACCATTATGAATGGTTGTACTTTGAAAATGATAATAAACCTGTTTTGCCTTTGGGGACTGCTGATGTTGATTCATGTTGCTTTACTTTGGTTGCCTTGTTGCTTATTTTTTTGTTGTTGTTGATGATTTATGTTGCCTTGTTTCCTATGCTTTTGTTGTTGTTGATGATGAACAATTGAGTGATCCTTTTGGTTATGATGATGAACAATTGCTTATGCTTTTGGTTGATGAATGATTGGTTTATGTTGCCTATTCTTTTGTTGTTGATGATGATGACCAATGGCTTATGGTTATGATGAACAATTGGTTGATGCTTGTCTTCTTGATGGCTATGCTTATGACTTACAATTGCCTTGTTGTTGTCTATGCTTATGATGAACATTTGGTTGTTGCCTATGATGCATATACTTGTGCTTATGATGAACATTAGTCTGTGATGATAGCTTATTTGTATTGAGAAGGCAATAGGGATCTTGTTCATTTCATTTTGACCATAAGCAGTTATATTGCATGATTCTAGTTATATTTGGCTTCTCATTTTGCCTTCTATGATAAAAAGGAACTAACACTCTAAGACCTCTGTCAATAACTTTAAAAAAAATTAACTTTATGTACTACTGCAAATGGGATTCTTATTTAACTGTTCCTAGTAAAGGACAGTTTACAAATATCCCATTTGGCAATAGTACATTACGTTTAAAGGATGTGACTTGTTGAGGCCATGATGAACAATGGGAGTATAATGTAATAAGGCTTTGTGTTTTTGCCATATAACTTGATTTTGTGTTACTTATATTTTCCATTTTGGTTAGATGTGATTGCTAATGACTTCATATTAGACATTATATATCCCTTTATATGCCTTCAATGATATGCACATTGTTACCTAAGACCTTGTATATGTTGCAATCATGCTTATGTTGTCCAATGGAAGGGGTGTGTCAGTAGTTTTAACAATGGTGTTAACCTATTTATACACCCCATCTATTGACACAACATAAGGTGTTGCTGTTTTTGAACAATGATGTGTCTTTTTTGCTGAGATATCCAACTTTAAATGCCTTTTCATTCTGTTGTTCTTAGTGAATAACTCAGAGTGTTCCTGATTTATTTCCTTTGCTGACTTTGGAATGTTAGTGACTGTTTGGTTGGAGTGTCACTGATGCTTGGGGACAATATGAGTTAACAAAAAAAAAATAGTGCAATGATATTATGAGCACTATGTTTTCCTAAATAAGATGAGTTTTTCATTTCATAACAAAGGATGTGATTACATTTTCAAGTGACCTAATGTCAAGGCAAAACATAAACATAAATACATGTCAAAAGACTAAGGCTTTGTCCCCTACACTAATGTGCGTTGGCATTGAAGTAGATGCCTCTTGATCATTGGCCATAACAGGCCTATAACACTCTGTTGTTGTAAAATGTCTTCCATTGCTCTGATCTTGCATACCTTATGTGTTTGCATTGTTGTGTTCTTGAGTTGTCTGTGTGTTAGCATTGTATTGCTCTTGAGTGTCTTCTTCATCATCTAAATTTGGCTTGTCCATATACACTCTCTCCCATACATCAATCATAGCTCACATAGGAGCTTCTATGTCATCTTTTAGTATGCCCTCTCTTTTCAGTTTATCCTTATTCACATGAGGAGGTTCAAACCTGTTTGACCCTTTACTTTTCAAGATTTGGTTCATGGTGTGGCACAGAGTTACCCACACCTTGAACAGTCTTGTTGGACTTAGCTCATCAAAAGCTTGCTCCACAGCTTTTAATCAACTGATCTGGTGTTTTAGCCATTTTTTTGTGTTGGAGTGATTGGATGCTTCTGAAAAATCCTAAGTCTAGGATGTTCATGTTAGGACTGTTTGGAGGTTGTTAAGATAAAAGTGAATTCTGGTTGTTCACAATGTTCTTGCCAAACAGGATCATCTTGGGTTATATGAGCCTTTGCATTATCTTGTTGAATGTAGATTGTGTTGTGATGACTTGTTTGAGGCCACTTTGCCATAATTGCCGGTATGAAATTTTCCACTAACATCCATCTTGACACATCCCTGTTGATTGGATCAATGACCTTTGTAACTATTCCCCTTTCTTTGAGTTCCTAAGTGCTAGCTCTTTCTTTGCAAAAGGGAAAATGTCTATTTTTCCATCAAATATGACTTCCTTTTGTGCATTATACCAAGGTTTTGCAACTACTCCTTGGAACATGAACTTGGGAATGAACTTCTGAGATTGCATAACTCTATGTGGTCCTCTTTCCCCTTTTGCTAAGTATGATCTATGTGTTTTTTTTTTGTCGAAGTAAACCACTTTTCATCAATGTGGACTGTGTTGTACATTGATTGGTACACTCTCTTTGTACCTGGTGTATCGCCTATAATGTTGTTGAGAATAAACCTGAGCCTCTCTATTCTATTTGTTGGTGTGAGCTTTGGCTTCAATGCATTTGTGTGAGGTGTTATATCCCCTCTCTTCACCATTCTTTGGATTGTGCTTTTCCCCACATTTAGAATTGAAGCTAAGTCTCTTTGGCATGATCTGTTCCCCATTGCCACTGCCCTGATATCCTTTTTTTTTAAGCTACGCCAACCGAGCAAAATTATTTATATTAAATCAAGGTCCACCAAAGTTTGAAGACTTTGGGGAAAAGAACTCATACAAACACGTTCCGAAAAGATACTAGTGTCCCATCTAGCAACGAAATGAGCAACCGTATTCCCCGCTCGTTTAACATGATTACAAGAAAAAGAAGATAAACTACTACTCATCCTAACCACATCATCATATAGGAGAAAGATAGGAGCAACACCAATTTGCTTAGTTTGGATAGCACGAACAGCCCTAAGAGCATCACTCTCAAGCACCACCTTCTCAAAACCCAACCTACGAACCAACTCCATTCCATATCACATCGCACCTGCCTCTGCCATTTCAGGGGGCCAACTAGCATCATATCTCTTCATTGCAGCAGCAAAAGCACCCTCAGCATCACGCAAAACCGCCCCGAACTGAACACCCCTGTCATTCAGAATGTGCGCATCCACATTCAGCTTTACAACCCCATTCAAAGGAGGAGACCACGAGCAAGCAGAATTACACACCACATGTACTCCAGTCCCCCTCAGCCCAGCATTATAAAGCCCATATTCAGCGTTCAATTGCACAAAACAAGTAGCTAAGCACACAGCATTGATATCACGATTGCCTTCATGAATATGCTCATTACGGCAATGCCAAGCAGCCCAACAAAGCGAAGCATAGACACGCAATTGCTCGTTGCTAACCGTTTTTGCGATCCAACATAACTTCTCAGCAAAAGAAGTCTCTGGGTTAGAAGCAAAAGTCACTGCACTTCCATATATCCTTAGCATACCTACACTCAAAGAGTGAATGCACAATTGTTTCATCATTAGCTCCACAAATTCGACAGCTGCTAGAGTCACCAATATGCCTCTTGTACAGCACATCACCAATAGCAAGTTGCCTCTTACACGTTCGCCACAAAAAATGACTAAGCTTTGGAGGTCCATCTATCCAAGTTCCAAATGACCTTCCACGCATCCTATTCACCCGTACCATGAGTCAGCTCCCACGCCCTTAACACACCCAGCCTACCGAGCCAATATCCACTTTGAACAGAATAAATACCATTCGGATTGGGCCACCAATAATGGTTGTCACAAGGCAAACTCTGAAAAATAGGAACATTTAAAACCGCAAGTTTGTCATCATCATTAAACGCCGCATCCAGTACCCCCTATCCCAACAACCATGCTCCATATCAATCAAATCACACACACGAAGGTCCAAATTGCTGTGCGGTTTGGGAGTCGGAAGCAGGTATGAGCTCTCACCAATAAGCCAAATGTCATCCCATACTCTAATTGATGCACCATTTCCCTCCCTCCACTTTAACCCATCAAGGAGAAGAGCTTTAGCACCCCAAATACTCCGCCAACTATAACTAGGGTCATGGCCCTTAGCCGCCTCTAAAAAGTCCGAGTTTTTGAAGTATTTTGCCTTAAACAAACCATGAAAAAGAGAGCACGGATTATTGCAAAGCCTCCACCCTTGTTTAATTAGCAAGTAGAGCTTGGTTAAAATTTCTCAATCCCGGAACCCCATTCCCCCCCATTGACTTCGAAAGGCAAAGAGACTCACATTTTTGCCAATACATCTTCCTCTCCGACCCCTTCGAACCCCACCAAAACTTAGCCAAAATTGAGTGAATCTCATCAATAAGGCCATCGAGGATCCTAAAATACTCATCATGTAAGTGGGAATTGCTTGAGCCACAGCTTTTATAAGAACCTCTTTACCCACACGAGACAACAATTTCTCCTTCCACCCTTGTAATTATTTCTTCCAAATCCTCTCTTTCAAACTAGCAAAAATCGCCTTCTTTGACCTTTCAATTATCGTGGGCAAGCCAAGGTATTTTTCATGCCTATCCACCTCCCTAACCCCAAGAGTGGCAGTGATTTCCCTTCGTCGATTTGCAGACACACATTTGCTAAAAGCTACCTCAGTTTTACTGAGATTGACACTCTGACCGGATGCTTTTTCATACACACTAATAATGTCAGCAATTTTAGAGCATTCATTCAATGTAGCTTTTGCAAAAAGAATACTATCATCTGCAAAAAATAAATGGGAAATTCTAAGGGGCCCCCTAGAAATTCGAGCACTATGAATAAAATTCTCATTTGCCGCTATTGCTAGCAAAGTAGAGAAAGCATCAGCACAAATTAAGAATAAATAGGGGGATGTAGGATCACCTTGTCGAAGATCACGGGTAGGAACCAACGATCCAGATATGCCACCATTATACTTAAAAGAGAAAGACACGCTAGCCAGACATTTCATGATACGATCAATCCAAGATTGCGGGGGATCCCATTTTTTGCATAACCTTCTTCAAAAAGCACCACTCCACTCTATCATACGCTTTACTCATATCGAGATTCAGTACCACTGACCCATCCTTTCCTTCCCCCTTCCTCTTCATAGTTTTAATGTGCTGATGTTTGAGTTCTTATTAGATGAAGGTGTATTGGTGCACCTATCTTGGCCATTTGCCTATGATGCAAAGTCAGCTTGATTTCCTTTGCAAGAAATCTGTTTGTTTGCGTTGCGTGGTGTCATTTGTTTAACCACACAAATAAATATTTACCCAAATTTTTTTTTGGATATTTATGTCTATCTGGACAGGTTCAATTCATTTCACTAAGTTTCTCTAGTTCTCTTTTCATAATTGTTTAGAGCCCTTTGTATGTACATGTGCTGTATTGGATTCTCAATTCTCTTTGCCCCCAGCGTTGTTAATCTCATTTTCTTATGCCTTTAGTAAAATTCCCCTTTATTTGGGCTGTTAAGCTACCTGTTCTGGCTTCTGAGTAAGAAACTCCACCTGTTCCTGCCAAAGAAGGAAAAAGATGCATTTAATTGTACCTTGCATTGATTATCTGCCTTGATTAATCTTCATAATCTGTTTTTCACGCTCTTCACTTATATTTGCTTTGGCAGGTATTATAGGATGGTGATAATGCTGTAGACATACATTTTCCTTTGATCAGCTCAGTTCTTGCTTGGTTCCATCTATGATAGGAGAGGAAGTAAACATTTGCGGAGGGGTGTGTTTGTTACCGAGCTTGCTCATATAATGTCAAGTAGTGCTTGTAGTGTAGATTCTGCTAATTGAACAAAGGAACAGTTATTTATTTGTTAATTCTTGTCTATTTTCTTGCAGACTGGAAACCTTGTCAACTTGTGTTTTCTGGTTACAAATCTCGATATTGGTTAGATGGTTACCCTACTTGAGCTCAATATATCTAAACAACCACTCCCCTTCCGCCCCTTCCTAAACTATAAATGTTGTTCCACAATTTAATGAAGGTTGCCCTATGCTGCTAAGTAGGGTTTATTTAATACTCGTTTCAGTTTAATAGATAGTTCGCTTTTTACAGTTACTAAGAAAATGATTAAAAGTAACCTGTAGGAGCCTCTTAGGGAAAGTGTATTATGAAATGGAGCCTCTAAGTGAGTACGAAGCATGAAATTAATGATCGCATAATACAGGCATACAGCCATGCCTTATGCCTTGTGCTTATGCACATGTTTATAATGAATAAGTGATATATGCATAACTTAATGATCGCATAATACAGGCATACAGCCATGCTTTTGCCTTGTGCTTATGCACATGTTTATAATGAATAAGTGATATATGCATAATGCATCAGCCTCGCTTGATAAATTTACCAAAATTACATAATAAACAAGCTAATGGAGCAAAAAATCCCAAAATGTTATTGCAGTTAGTAAGGCATTGTTGACTACCATAACATTAAGTATAGGTGAAATTACAGAGTGATATACATGATATGTTAAAATTCTTGACCATACAACTCTATAACAGAAGCTACCTTCTTTTGTAAGTCTGCTTTATTTGAACCAACCATCATATCAAGCTCCTGTCTATCCATAAAAAAGAAAAAAACTGGTGTGGCTTGAATATTGAATGCATCACTTAGATCAGGTACATCGTCGACATCAATGCTAACGAACAAGGAAGAAGCATATTTTCGAGACAAGTCACCATAGAAGGGTGCAATTACCCTACAAGGTCCACACCATGACGCCTTAAAACATGCTATAATAATCTTGCCTTTTAGGTTCAACGTCTCCTCCCAAGCTTCAAGCGTGAGAATATGTTGCACATTTCCATTTGCGTGGAAGGAATCGTCGTCATCATCGTATGATCCACATATACAACCACAACACAAGTTACTAAGGATGGATGTCATGTTTCACCTTGCAAAATCACCTTCGTTTCGTTGGGGAAAGGCCAAAATTACGGAGAGTTATGGCCAATCCCCCTTCCCCTTTGAAATGGTTCTTTAGTTAAAAGAATGTTTTCAACTACTTGTGTTGATAAAATGTAGAACCCTTTTTGAGGCAAAAATTTGTTGATGGAGGATCAAAGAGAAATTTGGGGTGGAAGATGTGGAGAATAAATATATGGAAATAGTGCACTATATTTGGCTATTTATTGGATTGAATTGTAGCTAGAAATTTCGAAATAATATAAAGACAAATAAATTTGCCAACAAAAGCCAGCATTTTCTTTTTTATCTTTTAATTAATCTATATTAAGGCACATGTGATTAATACTACTCTGTACAACTCTAAATAGAAAGGTTACATAATTTTTAACTTCTCATTATCTTGATTAAAAAGAATCTTTAACAACATTATATTTATCTATATTTCATCTCTTCTCAATGTATCTCTCTATTGTGTATGAAGGAGTGATTATATATTCCAACTCTAATCTATCCACACCCCTCCCTTCCTAAATATTTGTCCTCATCTACCCACAAATTACGGCGCCAAAATTTATGCATTTACATCTTGAAAACCCACATTTTACCTAATATGAGTTTACTAAATCGGATAATTTCAAAATCTTGTATGAGACTATCTCAATTAAACTTCATATAGAGTATGAAGCATTATGTATACTTGTACAATGAAAACTAATTTAAGATAAGCTTTTTGTTTGAAATAGATACATAAGTTTTACTTCCTCCAAACATTTTAGAATAATGACCCTTAACTCCTTAAGGCTGCATAAAAGAAAATTAAAATAGAAAGATTAAGAATTATTATTATGTACTTTCTCCGTTCCTAAAAGTTCGACTCACTTTGCAATTGTGCGGTCTCCAATGAACAACTTTGACCATGAATAACTCCGGCTATGTATAAGTGAAAATTGTAAAAAGTTGATATATAGATTATTTACAATAAGGGAATTCTTATAAGATCTCACATGCTAATTTATTTATATTGTATAGCTCATAAAATTTGGTCAAAATTATTTTATTTTGACCACATGAATAATAAGTGAGTCGAACTTTCAGAAACGGAGGTAGTATTATTAGAAATCTAATTGACTCATGAATTTTTGTCACAAACTTCCAAATTTATACTTCCTCGATCTATTTATTTTATATTAATACCATTATGGAGTGTTATAGTCTTAAATTTGGAAATTATCAACAACACCGATGAATGATATTGGAACCATCTCTTACTGCTTTTCACTACCAATACTACAAAATTCCAAAACAACTACATAGTTGAACCAAACTCTTTCTTTAGATTTCATAAACAAATTGGTATGATTCTTATAGTTCAAACCTAACTCATATGAACTCAAGGGACATTTCACGCACTCACTTCAATTTTGGCCGAATTTTCCAAAATTGCCTAAAACCGTGGATATAGCCTTTAATTTTTTTTTACCATTTTTCACTTTTGTGAAATCGAAAATGTAACAAGTCCGGGTGCTTCCCATAGATGCCAAGACACCACGGGAGTCCATTTGTGTGGTTGGAACTGTCCATTCTGTCTTTAAATTGTCAATTTGCCCGTTTAGAACCTACATCCCCTTTCATTAACTCAAGGCCACCACGAGCCTTTACATAACCGACCAGTGCTCAAATATGGTTACAAACAACGGAAGGAAAAAGTGGTTGGGGCTCTTCCCATGGACCTAACAATATCCTAGGAGACCATTTGAAAGTTGGAACCATCCACTTTACCTGTAAATATTCCTCCCTTAATTAACTCATCAGATTCCAAACTACATTATATAATCCTAAGATATTCCCCTACATTTCTTTGTTTTTTCACCAGCGATTCCGGAAACCTCGTCCAAAAGTGTATTACTAGGTATAATTTATAACCTTCAGTTTTGAATTTTTTTTTTCCGACTTTTTTAACCCAAAAAGAAAAATGGTCATGGTACTTTCCATTGATCCCACGATATTTCGAGAGGCTATACGACTAGTTGGAACCATTCACTTAAACCGTCAGCATAACTATTTTACTGTACTTGTCATTTCATTGGCAAAAGACCACCACATGCCTTTATGTGACTGAGTAACGATTGTATATGGTTCAAAACCACATTATATGACCCTGGGATGTATCCCCCTATGATTCCGTGATTTTTCGACATCAGATCGCGAAACCTCCGAAATTGGTCCGAATTCGTGTATTATAATTTTCAAATTTGGCTTCTGGTGAACTTTTTTTGACCCAACAAGGTTATGCATCGACATAATTTTTGAGGTATAAATCGAGACGAATATTACAAAATCTCAAGTGAGAATAAATTTTTTCCCATCAAAAGTTAAAAACTAGTCAAAGTAAAGTACCGTATATAAATTAAATTAAATTAAATAGTATAAAAGTCTATATGTTACAAGTAAAAATAACCTCCTTTCAAAAAAAAAAAAAAAAAAAAAAAAAAAAAAAAAAAACCTCAGTTTTTCCCTGTTTTGATATTTCCTCGGTTTGAGGCTTCGGCCTTTCACTTATATTTTCCCTCATAATATCATACGGTGCATTTCTCTGTCACACACTCTCTCTCTCCTCCATTGAAGTGTACTGTCGTACTTTGAATTCCCCATTGAAGCGGCTTCTGAGCTTTCTCGCCTCCATTAAAGCGGCTTCTGAGGTAAGATGATTTTCCATATTCTAGGTTTTTTTTCACACTATCATTAATTTAATTGTCTGCATTGTCAATTAGGGTTCATGTGATATTTTTAGCCTAATTTGATACTTTATTCAAATTAAACCTGCTAATGTGTTGCATATTTCGACCCTAATCGAGTCCACGAACTGAACTAAAAATCTTATTGATTATCGTGCTGAGCTTGAAATTTGAGGTATCTCGAATTGAGCCTGCTTAAATCCTATTGAGCTCGAGTCGATCGGGCTTGGCTCGTAATTATACTTCCCCTAATGAATCACTCTTAAGGCATGCTTGGATTGGGGGAGATGTATTACTAGGATAATAAAAGTCAAACTAAGCAAAATGAAAGTGAAAATAGGGAAGGAGGAGATAGTGATGGTGTAATTGTAAGGAAAATTATGTAATGACGGTGTGGTATGAGGTGAAGAAAGAGGAACTAATGCCCTCATTTTGGTGGTAATATTTACCTTGGGGGGAGGGTGGGTAACTATTAGTCTATTACCCTCATTACGAGGGTAATAATTCCTCCATCTCTCTCTTTTCCTCATGGCACAATTACTTTATTTCATTTGTAAACACCATGCCTCCTACAATACCACCTCTAATTACTTATGTTTTTTCAAGTTTGACTTTTATTACCCCTTAATATATTACCTTCAATCCAAGCAAGACCTTAATGTTTATATACAGGTATGGAAAAAGCTTTTGAATTTTTGAGGCAGATTTGTTGGATTTGTGTCATATGGGTTAAAGTCTGAAATTGAAATAACACAAAGTATTTTTGCCATTGAATACCACAAACCACAAATTCATTTCCATTCCCATTATTTATGACTTCGTTCCAAACATATCGTTAAGGTATATTGTAGTCAAGTTGTTAGAAACCTTAGCATTTGATCATTGCGTGCTCGCTCACTTTGCTTCCCTGTATTAGCTTCTTTTGTTTCCAAGAGCTTCAGAGCAATATCTGAACTCTACACCGACATGTATTTATGATCTCTCGAACTTTAGTTGTACCTGTTGTCTATACCTTTTGTATATTGTATTTTGGTTGTGTATGCTAGATTACTAGTTAAGAACAATTAGCTGGTGTGATTTATTTGTATAGCTGATGCAATTGTTGGTAGGCAAGGAGGGGGCTGAGAAATTGTCCTTCGTAGTGTCAAAAAATGAGCTTGACTGCCCTTTCACTCTAGTGAATACACTTGTTGCATCAGAGACACCATTCCTAACCCCTCTTTTTTTCTCCGGATGAAATTTTAGCTCCTAAATGTTGTATGATGTATCATCATCTATTGCATTGCAATACTATGGTTTCTGTTTACCATTCTGCATTTAATACCTGTGGAATTTCAGGATAGTTGATTGATAATCTACTGCATACTGCCTATAGAAAATGCCTAAAAAGAAGTCTTCAAAGGCGTCCAATACTCCAAAAGAAGAACCTGATACTCAACTAGTAAAACTATCTGCTAACTCAAAAAAGGCCGACGAAAGTGAGTGCCTAAAAAGAAGTCTTCAAAGGCCTCCAATGCTCCAAAAGAACTTGATGCTCAACAAGAAAAACCATCTGCTGGTCTTTAAAAGGCCGACGAAATTGATACTATCTTTGCAAGCCGAAAGAGGAAGAAGGCTGAGCAAGAAAAGGCTGAAAGAACTAGCAACACAAATGAAAAATCGAAGAAAATAAAGAAAAAGATGAAGAGAAGCCTAAAAGAAAATGAAGCTTTGAACCCTGACTCCAAGCCTAGAAGGAGAACAAATGACAGACTTGCTATTTACTCAGAAGAAGAGCTGAGACTTAACAGTCAAGACGGTGGTAACACTGGAGAATGCCCTTTTGATTCTTCTTGTTGCTTTTAAGATCATACTCCTAGGATTTTATTTATGATTGTTATGTTCTTAGTAGAGATTTTTCAAACATGGCAGTGTGATCCACCTTTGCATTCTGCTTGTCAAACCCAGTAAAACTCATTTGACATCTGTACAAGCAATTTTGATGCAGTATTGTTTGGCATTTTTCCTGGCTTGGCTATTGATTCAAATGCAATTTTGAAATGCTTAATGAAGCCTCTACTGTTCCAAGATCTTTAAGGGATACATTGAAGACTAACAAACTTTGAATAGTCGTAGACTTGTAGTTCATGTTATTTTTGTAGCTCAGGTCAAGATGATGCCTATTAGTATTACACACGCGAATGTATCATGCACATGTTAAATCTATACGACTACACTCTTGCTTATTGCTCATTACGAGCTCTTTTAGAAACAGTGATGTACAGTCCCTTGTGAATGTTATTAACCAGATATTCTTGAACTAAAATCAAGTCGAGTTTTTTTTTACATTATTTTTTTTCGTATTTTTGAGAGGGATTGACCAAAAGTCCGAAATAATATGAATCCCCGCATTGATAAAATCACGACTTTTTATAAATCTCTTTGGCTAATAAGGTATATTAGCTTCGTTAATGTAGTAGAGATGCATATGTGGTGATATAAAGGAGAGATACAGTAGAATTGTAATGAATAAGAGTTTCAGCAATAAATTGATATAATGGAAACTGATTTCTATATAATGCTTAAAACTAAGAAATCAACACCAAAAGGGGTGGTGGCGCAGTTGGCTAGCGCGTAGGTCTCATAGCTAAGTTGAGTGATCCTGAGGTCGAGAGTTCGAGCCTCTCTCACCCCATCAATTTTTAGTTTTTTTAAAAGCTACTATTAAGGCACCCTCTACTTTGGCTAATCTGATTACAGTTATTCAAGCTACTACTGTTAATCTTGGGCTCTCCTAGAAGTTATAAGTATTTAAGCTTTTGATTTTTAGTTTTGACGTGATCAAATCATGCTTACGCCAAAACGAAAAAACCTCTACTCGTATTAATGTTGGGTGCTATACAATGCTGTATATCATCATACTTCCTCAGATGTCTATTAATCACTACATTTCCCTAATTTAGAAGTTATAAGTGCAATATTTATTTTTCGTAAATTTTTTTCGTCATGATCGTTCTTGTTCTATCTAAAAAAAACATTAATAAAGAATGGAGAAATTATAATTCATGACAAATGTTAATAAAAACGATCCATTCACAATCCATCTTATATTCTTAGTTACTTTGAGCCCTTGGAGAGTTGGAGAATCCATCTTTGAAAGCTATTACTCATGCCTTTTAAAGTTTTAAGACCCTCCCAAAGATTGTCATTGAAACCGAAGTGAGCAAGGTTATGGCACTGTCTTATGGTCACCTAAGGCTCTCTACCAAGAGATTTGGTACTAGCAAGAGCATTGGATGGTGTCGAAAGGTCTCTTCAAACCCTTTGAAAGTTAATGGTTCACAAGTATGCTGTATGCAGCATATGAGGGATGTCCAAAGCTGGTTCGTAAACAAACGGCTTTGATTCACTAAGTTCAAATTAGCCCTTTGGAAACTTAACTGAAGGCTACAATTTACAGCCCCATAACATTTTCAAGCCTGCACCACAGTTAAACAGAATCGTGAAAAGATAAGTACATGACTGCAAAAGGCCTTGGATCCATAGCACACCTAGACTAGACCGTAAGTGACACCAAATATGAAACAATCTCGTACTCCATGGTAGCTAACACACAGCCATGAGGCTCCTAAGTCCTATTCCAGAGTTTACGATCATCATATACAGTTATATACACAGAAGTCCAATACTCAAACACCCGAGCGCCACAGTCATGTGATCCTCCGTTCTCCTCCCAAGGAGTACTGGTTATTTTAAGACAGTATTTACTAAAAAAATCTTACTTCCATGAGTTTTAGTTGTTTGAACAAAGCCTCGTACTGTAGGTTATCTTCAATTGTGTGTGCAATTAACCTAATGAACATATACAACTGGCCTCATGAGTTTCAGCAAATTTCACTGCTTAATCCAATCAACTATATACAATGATACACAATAATTTCTTATAATTAAACCTGTTACATAGATTCAATATCTAGGTACAAGTAATTTCAAAAAAATCCAAAAATATTGCTGCAAAAACATCTAATAGCAAAAATGTTCTAATTTTATTTCATTTCCAATTAGTTTAGTACAAGCATCAACTAGTACAAGTACAACCATAACAAAACTTATTACAACTGTAAAAGTACTTATAACTAAAAGACTTTCGCCTGTACTTTCTCAGCATCATAGTAAACAAGAACCAGCCTTGATCCTGCACCTTAAAAAAAGACCTAACAAACTAAACATCAAGTTAAACACAACATTAGCAGAAAACATGTCACAGAAAAGCCAAACTTGCTAACCACAAAGAATGGTGTACAAGCATTAAATCCTGCATCTATCTTTTTCGGAGAAGAAGCTAATGTCAAAGGGAATAAAAACATCTGATATTTCACAGTAATCAGACATAATTATCCCTCTCCTCCAAACTCAAAATTCAATCTTTTTCATGTTTAAAGTTCATCAAACAGAACTTCAATTTGTTTAAAGTTAATATTTATCTCAGAAGCCAAGCGTTAACAAGAGTATTGCATCGAAGATCCGACACATAGTCGGACCATCTTACATGTTAAGGGCTCATCACTGATGTACAATTAACAAAAGATTACTCAATAGACAACTACCAAATACTTTTAACAAATGTCCGAAGACATCAAGGTGAAAGGAATGAGGCAATCAACACATTCCTTATCATAAAATGATTCATTCGATTCGAGGGATATTATCCCAATTTTAATCTAAGCCTCTGTCTGAACCAAATGGTTCTTGATCAACCACTTCGTTATTCGAAGGCTATGTAAACATCTTCGACAACAAAAAACAAAGACGAGCTCGGACATTTAAGTAAATGTCCAAGGCTGCTTGGAGGACAATCAATAGTCCCCTCAAAAAGGCCTTGGCATAATAAGGATCAAATATAACATTTGACCCAAATTAATTTATGCCCCTTAACTAAACCAATATGAAACCTTAATTCATTCATAAGGCTACTCTTTAGAGGCAATAATGTCCTTATTATACCCATCAATACATCCAAATTTAACACTTCTAACAAATTCTAAATTACAATAATTGAGGCAAAATTGATTTAAATGTGGCAAATTTAGGCAAATAATTGAAGCATGAAACAATAGTATAATTTCAAGCAAATAACAAAAATTTGACTAGCTTTTATATTGGCTCCAAGCGGCAGTCAATTTACCATTAAACTGGCATATGCTGCTGACTCTTTGAAGGAGCCGTGCAATTAATCTTTCTTCAAGCAATTTCATTCATAAAAAAATACAATTAATTAATTCTCTGGGAATTTTTGAAATTAGTAAATGAAATAAAAAACAAGATTAATATAGCTAGTTTAAATTTGAAGGGAAATTATAGAGAAAAATAAAAGAAATTCCCTCCAATCGTGATGAATAGCATAAGTATTGGCACCGTGCAAAAGGTAAATAATTATTGAACTTTAACTAATACCCGTGTCTGAAATGTGCCAAATTTTTACCCTAAATCACAATTTTTTGAATCAAAATCAAAATCAAAAAAAAAAAAAAAAAAAAAAAAAAAAAAAAAAAAAACAACTGACTGATTTGATGATTAAGAAGATACCTGAAAATCAAAGATGGGTTTTTGGTTTTGAGAAGATTATATAAATAACAATAAAATGGGGAAAATTGTAGAAGTTGCTGTTAATAATTAGCAGTTTAGATGCGAGATAGAAAGAAGAGGGAGGAAGATGGGATGGGTGGGTGTTGATAGTGAAAAACGGCGTCGAATTATATAGATGAAATTTGGGATCTGTATAAACCCTAATGCCCCGAGGCCCAACTGATTCATAAACCTCTACATTCCAATGTTATTTTTTATTTTATTTTTTTAATGGATTTTTTTTAGTAATAATTACCTTGTCCATCTACTATTTTCAACAGTTTTTTTTTTCAATTTTACCATATACTATTTTCAAAAATATCAAAGTATTGTTTGTTTGATATGAGAATTTAATCCCCATATAAAATTATTATTTTATGAGAAATAAATTCCTTAATGAAATTCCTATGAAATTCTTAAGTGTGTTTGGTTGTCAAAAAGGAAAAATTTATTAAGTGCGTCTGGTTGTCAAAAAGGGAAATTGAAATTCTCATAATTTTGGTTTACTAAGGAGGGATAGGTAATTTACTTCCCATGTTTGTGGAAACTTTGAAATTACCTTGGATACCTACTTCCTCCATTTTTGTTTTTTTGTGTCAACTAAATAATTATACATTTTATCAATGTTCATAAATTTTCAATTTCCCCATTTTACGATGTTAACCAAACAAGCTAAATATTCCCACCAAATTGTCCAAAGTCTTCTATATGACGTCATTTTGGGTCCAACAAAGTTTTTTTTTTTTTTTTTTTTGTTATTCTACCCTTTGTTGTTCAGTTTTTTAAATGCATATCCAAATTATACAATTAAAACACAAAATTAGACACCTAATTTATAAAATTGGGCCTAACTATGTGATGGTCTTCAAATGTTGTGGTCGTGATCAACTCTTCTTAAATATGATTTGCATTTACATCGATTGTGGACGATTGAGAAGAAATACTTAAGACCTTTTGAGAGGGAATCGCTTGGTTCTTCAAGCCACATAAAGGAGGAACCGAAGGATTAAAGGTTTATGCTTCTGTAAATTTTTTCACCTCTATCAAGATTTAAGTTTTACTTAGGACAACCCGGACCGTCATAACTAACATAGCCCTCGAACGATAAAAGCTAAGCACATCACCATGCATAAGACGTTGCAAATTAGATGATGCAATCTGAAAAGATGAACTAGAACATCCACAAATTGATATTGTTCAAACCATTATCCGGTTGTATTGACTCCGAATTAGACTCCAAATTAGAAATCTTTTCAAGTGGATAAACCTCACTAATAGGACCTTCAACATCACATTCCATGTTATCCCCATTGGGCAACACCTCGAGAATGATCTCCATATATATCACAAACATCTTGCTTGTCCAAAGAAGCAAATTCCTCTAAAGTGATGTGATCTATAGAAGAGGCACAACACAAAAGCCTCTCAACCTCTTGTATTCCTTTAACTCTTCCATATTCCTCAAATCACTAGTAATGCTTACAAAGGTCGGATTTGGCGGATAGAAGATCATTTAACTCATTAAAAGCAAAGGTTCTCCTAAACAAGCATTTAGTATGACAGGTATCATACCTCAACACAAAACGGGACATAATTTAATTAAAGTATCAAATACTTGTAATTTCAGGACACATGCAGCTAGATTGAGATTTAAAGCCAAGACTAAAGGCCGAAACATAGCAAAGGCCTCTAGGGACGATGAGAAACTAAAACATAACACTAAACTTGCTAAATTACACTTGGAAAAAGTAAGCTTAAACTTGTGTTTTTGGAACAAGGAGTTACCTTCCTCATTGAAAACTTTAGAACAAACTAACACATCATTAGGATAAGCCATAGTGTCAAGGATACGAACAACATTCAGCACAAAGATGAAACTCGGCATAAACAAGACACAAACCATTCGCTTAACTAGGGGTGTACATAAACAGGACCGGACCTGATCCGAACCTGTAGATTAAGGTCCGATCTCGGTCTTTGAAATTCAGGGATTCCGGTTCCGGTCTAAAACCGGGGGTAAAAAATTGTGTTTTAAAAAAACAAAAAATTCAAAATTTATTACTCCTATTAGTTAGCTATGACTACCCGTATATATCATCCTCCTCATCACTGACGTATCCCCATTTTCTACTTTTCTTCTTTTTCGCAATTTCTTCGATTAATTCCTCTTTTTCATCGAAACTTCATTGATTAATTGCGATTCCTTCCTCTTTCGTTGATTGATTTGATCTTCCTGGTTTTCGAATTTTTAATTTCTGATTTTGGGATTCTGATTTTCCGATTAGGGTTCTTAAAAGAACCTAATTTGAATTGATTTCTGCTGTACTGATGCTGGTTCTTTGATTCATTTGGGGGCTTTTGTAAGTGTAATTCTCTCCGTTTTTTTTTTTTTTTTTTTTTTTTTTTTTTTTAATTTTATAAACTGTAGATGCGAAAATTTGTTGGGGTTATGAATCTTTAGTGTTTAATTTATTTTTGAATAGGTTTCTGTATATATATATAGTTTAAATTCTTGAAATTCGATTGAATTTCATAACTAAGGAGAAATGTCGTCTGCTGGGATTGCTGTTACTTTGCTCCTCACGGTATAATTTTGATTCATTTTTTGTTTTGTTGGTGTTGAATTTGTATGCAGGTCAATTTATTAAAAAAAACGAAAAAAAAAAAAAACAAAACAGGTCTGTTCAGGTCCAAACCCGGACCGGACCTGATTGTTCCAGTCCTTAAAATTTATTTAGGTGCCGATCCCAATAGGTCCAGTCCAGGTCCGGTCTGGTTTTGAACCGGTGTACAACCTTACGCTTAACAATGGGATAAACTATATGGAAGCACAAAATTCCTATAGGGTAAACAACCCTCACCACCTGATTATTTTACTCGATAAAAGATGAAACTCCGTATTCCGTAGTATTTTCTCATTTTCTCATACGGAGTACACAATAACACCCGTCTCATTTTATACGAGCAAAGTTGGCTTGATATACCAACCGACCTTGTTATAAAAGTCTACGTGCATTAGTTGTAGACACCAACCACCATTGTTGAACACGTCCATCTTCTTCTCTTTTATATTCTTCCTTTCCCAATTCTCTTCCTTTTTTAATATATATTCATTGCAATATTTAATTACTCATACAAATAGAAAAGTCTCATACTTTCAAACACCCAATCCAAAATTAAAATAATCCCTAATTTTTTTTTTCTGTAATTTGATCTTCTAACTGCCAAATTTCAGCTTTGCGGCTTCTGGGTATTCATTGATCGCCGCCATGGATGCAACCTCGAGCTCTGCCGTGGTTTCGCAGCTGAGATTATCATCTCCCTCGCTTCGTAATTCCAAATCCAGATTCTTTGAGTGAGTTTTTGGGATTCGCCATTTTATCTTATATGCTTACGAATTGATTCGATTTTGTGATTTTTGCATACTTGGATTAAATTGGGTATTCTTAAATTTTTAATCTTTGATTTGAATTTAAATGGTTCGTGGGTTTGATCTACCATTTGATTAGAATTATTATGATGGTAAGTTCAGCATTTTTGATTGATTTCTTGTTGTTAACTGTTGGCTACATTTTTTTTTTTACTGGGGTTTGATAGAAATTAATATTGCATGTATTACAATTTGGATTTTTTTTGTAAATAACCACCCCAAAATGTACCATGTGTTGAACTAACCACCCATTTTTAATGTAATTGTATGTAAAAATGGGGCTACGAAATCTTTAAACTAGAAATTTAGCAACGAAATTGTTAAACTAGAAAATGTGGTAACAAAATCCGGACAGGTGTGGGATTTGCCAGTGTTGTGATTACTTTTACTCGTTCAAAATGGATTGGTTGGATGCTTGGATTCGAGTGTATCTCGTTCTTGCTTCTTACGCCTTGCTATTGCATTGTTCTGTTGGCAGGTCATGTCCACAAATCAGAAACTGCATGCCTCCTTGTAAATATACTTGTAGGAATTCGTCATCCAGCTCATATACAATCATGTCTTCTGACTCAGTTGAGAGTAAAAGCAGCAGCATTAGTGGATTTTCTTATAGTCAACCAGAGAAGAGAAGTAATGAAGTGGGTAAAACATTTTGTTCTGCTGCTTTATACACTAGCACTTATGATGAGGACTTGGCAATATTTCCCTCTCATGTTGCGGAGGAAAAGATTGGGGTGCTTCTTTTGAATCTTGGAGGACCTGATACTCTTAATGATGTTCAGCCGTTCTTGTTTAATCTATTTGCCGACCCAGTATGCTCCCTGTACTTGTTTGTTTGCTTTTTCTAGCACTAGAAGATAGATGAAATTATTAAATTTACCTAATTTGTGTCTCATAACTATTGGATTAGGACATCATTCGCCTTCCCTCGTTGTTTCGTTTTCTGCAAAGGCCCCTGGCTCAGTTGATTTCTATGCTAAGAGCCCCTAAAAGCAAGGAAGGCTATGCTTCAATAGGAGGAGGTTCACCTTTACGAAAGATAACTGATGAGCAGGTGAGACATGTTTTCTTTATGAACCTTCCTACTTTCTTCTCTACCACATCCTTGCTAAATTATTTTTGTGTTTGGGACCTTTGGGTTTTGTAATTCCATAATTTTGCTAAGTCTTATTGAATTGAACTCTGTTTTGAAGGCAAATGCACTTAAGTTGGCATTAGAAGCAAAGAATAAGAATGTATCTGTCTATGTTGGCATGAGGTACTGGTACCCATTTACAGAAGAGGCGGTTCAACAGGTTCGCTTTTTTCATTGTTCTCTTTAATCATTGCTATAATAGAGCACTTAGTTTCAGTAAAACCCGTCTCTATTGTGGAACCCCCTAATTTCCTTTCATGATCTGCTGTTTGCTGTCTTTAGAAACTGAACTGCATTTAGTAGTATACGTACAACGTACCCGTGAACTGTGTATTGCTAATTCTACCTTTTTAAACCACTACGTTGCCCCTTAGATTCGGGCATTAAACCAAGTGCAGGCTTATATAGTGGATTATTACAGTAACAATCATGAGTCACAATATTCTGATTTGCTTTCTTTTGCTGTAGAAAGTGATGCTAATTGTGGAAATTTGTGTTTGTTCATTAGTATTATTACCATTCCACTAAGGGGGAAGGTTTTGATTCTTTACATTCCTTGGCTTTTACAGTTATATATTTCTGATTTTCTGTACCCTGCCCATCTGTCCTATGTAAAATTATGTTGGAGCAATGCAGTTGAACATTCTTTATTTAATTTTCAGATTAAGAAGGACAAGATTACAAGACTTGTTGTCCTTCCTCTCTATCCTCAGTTTTCTATATCTACAACAGGTTCTAGCCTCCGAGTTCTCCAAAACATTTTCAGGTAAACTTGTCTTCAGGACCTAATTGGGAAATAGTTTGTATATATTTTCTTACCTTATTGGCTTACAAAAATTTAAACATTGTCAGGGAAGATGCATATCTGTCTCGCGTGCCTGTTGCTATCATCCGATCTTGGTACCAGCGAGAAGGTTATGTCAAGTCCATGGCTGACTTGATTGAGAAAGAGCTGCAATCCTTTTCCATGCCTGATGAGGTATGTTAGCTCTTTCATTCAATTGTACATAGTTTTTTGGTTGCATGATTGCACCAGGCTATTTGTTTTTGAAGTTTTTGGCATTCTAACTTAAGATGTGGAACTGTCATTGCTGTCACCAATGTCTAGGTTATGATATTCTTCAGCGCTCATGGTGTGCCAGTAAGTTATGTTGAGGATGCTGGAGATCCATACAAAGATCAGATGGAGGATTGCATCTTCTTAATTATGAGAGAATTGAAAGCTAGAGGAATCAACAATAGACATACGCTTGCTTACCAGGTTTGTTATGAGCTTGCATGGTTTTCAATTTCATTTAGTAGTTTCATTGCTGTTTAAATATCTCGTCTATATCTCGTGTCTATACCTCCCAATACATATACCGAGTTTTCAGATGTGTTTTTATATATTCTCTTTGCTAATTTTATTTCTCATGCCCTTTTTGTTCAGAGTCGAGTTGGTCCTGTGCAATGGCTGCAACCTTATACTGATAAAGTTCTTGTTGAGCTTGGCCAAAAAGGAGTAAAGAGTCTGCTGGCTGTTCCTGTGAGGTGAGTTGCATATTATCGAGCTTACTTTTGTCTATGCTCTACCTACTATTGTTGGACATATTATGGCGCTAACAAGTTTTCATGCAACATTATTGGATGCTGCTTATCAATGATGAGATGCCATTTTTCTGATTTTGTACAAGATTGTTTCAAGAGAACATTTAGAAATTAGATATAGTAGTAGATTCTGTATGGACTTCACCATTATTGAATACTTTTGTTAGTTGTTGTCGACCATTCTCTACTAAATAGTAATATTGAAATATGTATGTACAAGCACTGATGTCAGGGTATTTAATAACTAAATTTGCTTTATACCTGTATTGTTTGATTAGTAACTTTTATTTGGATTGTTGACTGTCATATTTTTGCAGTTTTGTGAGCGAGCACATTGAGACACTTGAAGAGATTGATATGGAATACAAGGAATTGGCACTTGAATCTGGCATTGAGAATTGGGGTCGGGTTCCTGCTCTCAATTGCACTTCTTCTTTCATCAATGATCTAGCTGATGCTGTCACTGAAGCTCTACCTTCAGCAGCTGCTATCACAACCAGCACATCTGAAGAAGTCTATAGTGATCCGGTCAATTATTTCGTAAAATTGTTTTTCGGCTCACTGTTGGCCTTTATCTTGCTTTTGTCCCCAAAGATATTCTTGGCGTTTAGGAACAACCTTTTGTAGAAATAGATGGAAGACTTACCAGATTTTGAAGCCTTGCGGTATACACAAAACTGACTGCAGAGGAGAATTATAGAAAAGATGGACTTAAGAGGATGCTTGTATTCTTCCTTTTGAGCTCTTGCTCAACTTCCAAATGTTGACAAATGTTGTAAAGTTTATTTTATCCATGGTTATTTTTCTCAAGTATTCATCTGTAGTAAGTATAATTAAGTATAAAAATTGAAACTTACTTTTATAGGTTGTTACTTTCAAAATATTATTACTGTTGATTAGTCTTGTACAATTCATTCGCTGCTACCTAGCTTTCAAGTCTAAGCACCATGCTTCAGTATTAATCATTTAGTCACCTAGCTGAGTGACCAAGTCATGAGATTGGGTATGAAACTCAGGGCAATCGCATAACCCGTAAATAGAACTAACTAGATGGAAGCCCGTGCGATGCACGGTTTTTTCATCTAAGATTTTTAATTATTTGTTTTATTGTATTTAATAATTTCAGATAAAATTATAAAAGTATAATATATTTTCTTTTTTTACTATAATTTATAATGAATTTATTAAATATAAATAAATTGTAAATATGATATATATTAAGTATACAACATCTAATCGTATGCCATTATATAAACAAATAATCGTTAAGTATCCTAAATAAATACAATGTTACTAATAATTACAAATATAAATTTAAACGTAAGATTTTAAAAATTACCCGAACATTGATGACCTAAAACTAACACAAAATTACTAATACAAAATTCGCTTGATGGGGTTTTGTATTGATACGAAATTTTATTTGTGTCGTATGATGTGTTAGATCTGCATGTAAAAAAACATTTAGTAAATAAAACATATACATATAATCGTTGAGTATCCCAAATTAATACAATGTAAGTAATAACTAGAAATACTAATTTAAACATGGGATTTTAAAAATTAAGCTAAAAATTACCCGGCCATTGATAACCAAAACTTAACACAAAATTCGCTTGATGGGATTATTTATTGATACGAAATTTTGTTTGTGTCGTATGATGTGTCAATTTATAATGATAGGTATCACAAATTTTAATTTAATTATAGGTATCAAACTTTATTATATCTCATGCCCGTGCAACACACGATTTTTCATACATATATCTCAAGAAAAGATATTTTCCTATATACTCTAAGTTTTTTTTTTTTATATAATTATTTGATTTATTTTACAATTAATAACTTCAGACAAAAAAAAAAACAAATAATAATTTAATTAAAATGATATTGCCAATTACAAAAGTATAATTTTTTTAATTGTAATTTATAATGCGACTTAATTTATTGTTGTTTTGTATTTTTATTCGTTGTTGTTAGTTATATGACAATAGCATGATATCTTTCAAAAAAAAAAAAAAAAATTGTAAATATGATATTTCATTGATTACATACTAGGATAAAATCTTTAATGTGAAAAGATAATAATTTTTTATTTTTAAAATAATTTAAATCCTAAATTATTATTCGTTGCTATTTACACTTGAAATTAAATTCTCAAATCTATGTATCATTTTGTATATTTCTTGTGATCTCTACCAAATTATCTATCTTTTCAAATTTTTAGACATAAACTGTTAGGTAAAGTTTTTTATTGCGTTATAAGTTTTAAATTTTTTTATGAAAAAAACATCTTATTAATCGGGTATTTAGATAAAACCATTAATTTCATAAGATAATTTTTATTTTTTTAATAATTTAAATCCTAATATCCCACGGTTTTTTATACATAAAATCTCATAAAAATAATTTTTGTAATTAGATCATACTCATAATATTTTTGATTACTTTGCTATTGTTTGTTAAGGATAATTATTTATTAGTTTTATGTAATTTATTCCCCTAATAAATATTTTGATAAGAACATTAAAAATAATAGTTATTAGATGTAATATTTCAATGTAAAAAAATTTGTATCAAAAAAAAATTTCAATAGGATCACCAACTTTGTTCACATCCATATCTCTTCCATCTAATAAAAGTGGATAAATAGAACATGTTAGCAAAAATAAAATTTATATAAATTAATTTTTATAGTCTTATAAAATAAATTAAAATATTTACCAGAAAGTGAATAATTGATGTGAAATTAATCTAAAAATTTTAATTATACAAAATTAAATCTATGCATTGGAATTTTTTCATCGTCCCCAATCGCCCAAACAATAGTATTTTGGAAAATTGAATCATTATTTTGTTGTCGCTGACAATGCGTGCGATATTGCTTCTTATTTGTAACGACTGAAAAGTATCTAATGGAGTAAATTTTTCCTTCAATCAATTTTGAGCAAAATTGTAGAATAAAGTTGACTTTAATTGAGCCGTGAACGTAATCACCCTGTAATTAAAAATAAAAAATCAAGTTAATTTTAAGACTTAATTAAGATACCTAAATCACGAAAAATTTGTTTTAATCATAAAATTAATTGATAAAAACTAAAAGGTTCATTAAAAGGTTTAATAAATGTAAAAGATTTATAAAGATATAATACCTCCTCATCCAATAGGATCATTAGGCGAGAAACTCAACTTTGATATTCCAAAAAAATTTTCTCGAATATAATTCTCTTAGTAAATTAGATTTGCATGTAAAAACAAAATTCAGTAAACAAAACATAAACATATAATCATTAAGTATCCCAAATAAACACAATTTAAGCAATAATCACAAATATACATTTAAACATGGGTTTTAAAAATTAGGCTTAGAATTACCCAGCCATTGATGACCTAATAAAACTGACACAAAATTAATGACACAAAATTTGCTTGGTTTGGTTTTGTATTGATACAAAATTTTGTTGGTGTCATATGATGCGTCAATTTATAATGGTAAAAATCACAAATTTTAATTTAATTATAATTAAGGAATAATTTTTATTTTTATTATAAACACTATCAAAAATCTTATAATAGTAGGTATATAAATCCTATATTTAAAGATGATTATTTTAAAAGATAATTTTTAGTTTTTTAAATAAATTAAATCCTAATAAATCAATATTCGTTATTTTTACTTACGTGGTTGTTTAGGCGGCAAACGAATTTTTTAATTCCAAAATAAAATAAAAAATCTAATTTTTAATTGGTCGAAAATATACCTTTGCTTATGTTGCCGTGCTCTTGAAAAATGACTACTTTATTTATATATATCAGATTAGATTCAAATGTTCTTTGTTGGAGAAACCAAAACATGTATGTCAACTAGTTTCATTAATACTTTGTATAAGTTTTGGGACTGGTACCAGTGACTCGAGATCAAAACATCATTTTCTCTTTGTCTCACTTCATATCTCACAACACACATCTATATACTTTGTATTAATATTTCTTTTATATTATACCAAACTAGATAACGAATTAAATCATAGTTTTTCTTAAGCTTTGACAGTAGGGAAACTGTTACTCAAAGGTTACCCTGACCAATCAAAATACATGCATTAATTTAAGTCACAAAAGAAGTGATTTAAACAGAGGCATCTGTACATAGTGATAACGTTGCCCCAAACAAATGATTGGGTACACAGTGTTGCCCCTTTTCATTGCTGCTACTGCTGGTGGTTCAGACGAGAGAGAGGCATCAGTACATATTTTCCTACTCACTCTTTTGAGTGAGAACTGAGAATGAGACCGTATAACATAATACTCAATTTAACACTGGAGACTTGAATAGTTAACGATGACAGAAATCAAACAAGTTATATGATTACCATATAGAAGAAACTAACATAACCATCCAAAATTTTACAGAACAGCAAATGTATTTAAATCCTAAACTACTACAGGCACAAACTGAACTTCTAATCAATACCTCTCATACAAACACTAGCTCTGAGGTGATGCTTTGGCAGCTCCATTAGGCTGAGCAGCAGGCTGGGAAGCAGGAGCAGGTGCAGCAGCAGCCACCCCATTATCATCGGAAGGATATGCAGCAGGCTGGGAATAAGCACCACCATAATACGGTTGCTGCCCATAGCTTGGTGGGGTTACAGGTGGTGCGCCATAGGCTTGGGGATAAGCACCAGACTGAGCAGTTCCAGCTCCATAAGAAGCAGCAGCACCTGGTGGAGCTGATGGTTGTGAGGGTGGATATCCAGGCTGACCAGCAGCAGGTGGAGCATAACCCCCTACCTGAGATGGTGATTGCTGAGGTTGACCATACACTGATGGGTTTGGTGGTGTTTTCTGGCCCTGGGGTGGCCCATAACCAGGATATGCACCTGCCTGTGGTACAGATGAAGTCCCATAACTGGGTTGTGAGGTTGGTGGAACACCATAACCAGGCTGAGTTGGGTATGCAGGGTTAGGACTTGGCTGGCTCCCAATGTATCCCTGTTGTGGTTGCCCGGATGATGGTGTTTGACCAGTCTCACCTTGGGTACCATAGGCAGGAGGGTGACCATCTTGAGTTGGAGGGTTAGCCGCGTTTCCATAGCCGGGAGTTGAGCCATAACCCTGGCGCTGATCATACCCAGATTGAGGATTAGCGGTCGGCTGGCCATAACCTTGGTATCCAGTCGCATATCCCTCTTGAGAGTATCCTTGTTGGCTATACCCACCAGAAGTTGGTGGCTGACTGTAGTTGTAACCAGTGCTAGCAGTTTGGGGCCCGTTAGGTGGTTGCTGCTGCTGAGTTTGGGGTTGCTGCTGCCCGTAATAATCATATCCAGTTCCTTGAGGCTGTTGAGTCTGAGAAGCACTTGACTGGTCCCAGTTTTGAGGAGGATAGCCAGGGTAAGGTTGTTGATTGTATTGAGATGATGCACCAGGATAAGCTCCAGGCTGCTGCATGTAGCCATAACCGGCAGGTTGCTGCATTTGAGGGGGTTGAGGAGCCCAGTTTGTAGGAGGCCGTGCTTGGTAGCCTTGCTGAGAATATCCGCCAGTCATTGCTGGATTTCTAAGGCGATTCTGCAAGGAATTTATGTTCTCATATGAACCTAGATAACATCTAGCAGCTACTACTAGCACGTGCCAAACATGGATATGTATAATAGACAATAGACCCCCAATGTAAACATATATAAACCAAATAAAGCAATGTTGAGAATATTAAGAATTGCAAGGCAGAATATATCAGAGCAATATGGTTAAAGCACAACAGTTATTAAGCCAGAAACAAAAATAAAGTAATGTAGACATTTAAAATCAACTAGATTGCAAGCTATATAGTATGTACCTACTCAAAGTCATAATTCATGATTAAGAGGGGGTTTAGACGCCTACATACCGTACTGGTTTGTAGAAGTATTGACTTACTCCAGCGGGTGCCCAACCACTCCCTATTCAAAGTGCAAGGGTACAAGCAATATACAAATTGTAGAAGTACTAACATATGAACTAACCTAAATAAAGTACTAACATAAAAAAATTTCAAATTATGTAAGGAATGAGCCAACAGTTTGAAGGTTATGCAAGAGGCAGAGAATATTATAGCAGTAACAATAATATTAGTAGATTTAGAGAGAGTAATATAAGAATTGAACTCATGGTTTACACAACTCACAGCCAAAGAAAGGCAATGAGACTGATAAGAAATACTTGTGTAAAGACAACATTGGATATAGTTTCAAATACTGACTGTCAGCAGATTCACAAATAAACAATAATGTAGCTTGCATGCTCACAACAAGCTACTCAGCTTCAACAAACCTCCATTTTTATTTACACGAAACATCTCATTTCTCACGCTTTGTAATCCATATCTTCAATAATTAACAACTTTTAAGTATATAGATAACTTAAAAATTATGGAGTATCATTGGAAAATCAAATATATATTAAAATTAATCTAACAAGACCCCACATTACTATGTTTTTCCTCACGGATAAAAACAAAATAATAATGTTGCCTGCATACTCATGATATCTTTTTTTTATCAATAATAAAAGATTTGACATTTGGAGAGTATAGATTAAGATGAATCTAACAAAACCTCACGTGACTTATGTTTTGCCTCATGAAAAAATCAAAGAAAAAGAGATTGTAAATTTAGTGAATAGTGAAAATTTTGAAGTATTTCATCTAAATAAACGGAGGGAGCAACTGAAATATACCAAGAATAGGCCCCCCCAAAAAAAAAACTCCATGAATTAAACAGCAGAATCTTGAATTAAAATTGTTTATTTTCCCTTCCTATTTGACAGCCGAATAGAAGAAGCATCAATTATTATACCGCTCATACACTTATAGTTGTACCCAAAGAAAGGAGTAGGAGCTGCACAATCTTAAAGCAGTGAAGAACAGTGGGGATTTAATATGTACAGATTAAAGCTCGTGATTTAAAGTAACCACTAAAACCGAACACAATGTACAGAAAGGCCAGTCAACAACAAAGACAACAATATTCATCTGGCTGCTGAATACCATGCAAAACTCTCAAGTGATTGCCTCAAAAAAAAAAAAAGCTGGCAACTTATATATAAATGACACTATTGTCATGCATAGGTAGAAATACCATACCAGAGTTAGGCGGCAAGAACACCAACACAGCAGAATCCATGTTGGTGTCACAAAAAATCCTATCCAGCAACAGCTTCTAGTAAAAGTCAGTCAAGTGATACAGAACTCACAACCACTTAAAAGGCTAGCACATGCTTATTCAGTTATTCTATATCAAGATGTTTTACCACAGCATAACCAATTTAATAGTTTATCTCAAGCATACAGGACCGACCAATATTGGATAATCTCTCAAATGAACTTGTGGGTGACAATGTGAAACCAGTACTTCGTAGCTCATCTCATGTACCAGATGTCCAATATATAAATATGGAGCTAAAACACGACTTACAAAAACAAGAGAGATAACTTCCTTGGTATGTGTTTTCTCACGCAGCCTTCCAGTTATCTTGTGGTGGTAAATGGCAAAATTAATCTTGACATCAATCTGTCTCACAACATTCTATATACAATATAGTACAAAACCTTGGAGCATAGCTAAAAATGACAAGTAATATCTACTATGAGAAAACTGAACGTTCAATCAATTACTCCCCCTCCTACAATCCTTATAAACCACACCAACCATCCACCAAAACCGCAAAAAAGGTGCAAGCACTCACTCCATAACAAGAACTTCAATTACCTGACAGCCCAATTGATACTTATACAATACCAAACTTGTCCATCAAAAACCCAATGGCTAGATAGCACAGCAAAGAGATTAATTAATTATTTATTTATTTATATATTAAAAAGGGAAAAAAGATCCAACATTCATTAAAGAGACAATGGGTTTTCCCTCAGCAGATGTCCTGTTAAGCAGATGAAGATGGATGATGAATAAGCAACAGAGTATATAAGATGAGCATCAATCATCTATGCTCTCCATAGAGAGATTATAAAGGTCACAAAAACGAATATTTGTTAGGAAACCTACTATCCTAGCATTATCACATTATAGAAGCCAAAGTAAATAGCTACAATACTGCAGAACAGTCAAATTATCAATAACCAAAACAGCAGGAATTTGCGAGCAGTTACAAGAAACAAAAGAAGAACATGAACACAATCGCTAGATTCTAGACCAGCCTATAGAAACGAAAAATACCAACATAAGCATTTAATTCGTGGTAGTCAAATGATTTAAGTCCTCCCCAAAGGTCATATGATTAAAAGGAAGATACTTCACCACAAAAGAAAGCATAATCACACATACCTCAATGACCTCATTGACCATTTGTTTTGCAACCTCAATTTGCTCACTTGTACCATCAATCTGCACAGTTCTTTCCATAGGTGCATCACCAGGGGGCAAATGCAATGGAATAACCTGCAAGAGAATAACAAATTAAACATCAAAGACAGATACAAGAAAAGAGACCAAAAGTAGCACATAACAGAAAATTGACAAATTTTTGCCTGCTACAAACCTGCACTCTAGCTCCAGACCTGGTTTGGATATTTTTTATGGTCTCACCTCCTTTACCAATAACCAACCCAACCTGAAAAATCGAAATACTTAGAACTATTGTCAACCAAGAAAAATCCTCTAAAATTTCTTTATGGACACAGTCCTACCTTGTTATTTGGGACCTTCAAAACATATGGTTCAGACCCTGATGATCCTGGCATCCTCCTTGAAACAGACCCAGGACCTCCAGCATCAGCCTGATATTAAACATCATTGTAGATCTTTCAGTAAGAAATACTATTAATTTAGAAAACAAAATCAGGAAAAAAAAAAAAATGTAATTCTGACAGCACATGACCAAAAAGGACAACTATGCAAGAGTCATTACATTAGAGTTGCTATCTTGCTAACTGTTGACTATCAAATTGTAAAGTGTTAACAGTAATAGAAAATACTAAGCTAGTAATCAAAAGACATACCTCAGCAAGAACCTCATAAATTAGCTGCTCAGCTTTTGCAATTTGATCTGGATTTCCCATCAGGTCAACAGTCCTGTGTGGCAAACTTGGGTCATGTTCTGAATCTCTAGTCACCTGGATCCTTGCTCCGGATTGAATTTGGAGATTCTTGATGGTATCCCCTGCTTTGCCAATGATAACACCAACTCGTCCATTGGGTATTTCAATCTTTTTGCAATCAGAGCTACCAGAGTAGCCATGAGCAGCACCACCAACCTGAATATTTGATGATAAAGGCTTCTGATCTACAAGAGACAGAACAGTTGTCAACAAACTAAATTCAACCATGTAAAAGCTTCGTATGATCAGACAAAAGATACTTGCCCAAACTTGAAATTCATTGCACAAAGAGATCAAAACCACTCAAAAGTCCATAGCAAGAAGAGGAAAGATTTAAGAATTAATCTGTCTACATTTACTTCACTGGCAAGTGGCAACAAGTTTGAGCCACATTTATTTCATATTTTCCTAAGCTCTTCTCTGATGAGCTATCCCTACCAATCTGGTTCTCCAAAATTACATCAATAAAAGATGGGTTAAGACTAGGCGGACTAGCTACTGTGGGTATTATAGCATACACCTAGACTCCCCCCAAGGCCCCAACCCTACTATGACGAGGTTAGTACAGAATCATGCTCAACTTTATTGTCTGAAATCCATCGTCAAGGCATCAATTCTAATGAACATACCAAACAATTTCTTCTTGCAAAACCAGGAAAAAAAAGTTCTAGTAATTCCAAAAGAATTTCTCATATTTTTAAGTGAGCAGAACATAAGTAAAGGTTCACTCCTGTAGTTATCCTTGGAAATTCTTCAGCTACCATTGTGGCAATCAGCATAAAATTTTTCTAGTGCCTCAAAAACAACAAAAATTTGAACATTGCAACGTTTATACAAAACAAGGCATATATTATTACCCAACAAATTAAATCATCAAAACCATATCCTAGTTTACACAAACGGCATATCAACAATCTATGCAGAAACACAACAAATTAATACAAATAAGCATAATTCCGAAGAATTGGTAGTGGCAAAAACAAATCAATAATAATAACTATAACAAGAACATAAATTTAGCCTTTTTATTCAGATTCCATAAAATTGAAATACCAAACCCTAAATCATAATCATCCAACAAATCAAACAAATTCAAACAACAATAATCACATCAACGATCAATCAATGAAAAAGAACAAAGAAGCAGAGCATGAATACCTGACAAAACATTAGCGTTGGAACCATAACCGCCATTATCAAACTTCGAACGCTTAGCCTCAGCATTGAAAGCGAGAGAAGCAAGTTCTTGAATCTTCTGTTTAGCAAGCTGAAAATCCTCCAATGGCGGCGGAACGTTTCCGAACGGCGCGGCAGCGGGAGGAGGACCATCGGAGAAACCAGTAGGACGACGTTGACGCGGTGGCGAGGTATCCTCTTCGTATTTTCTCTTGTGAGATTCGTATTGAGCATCGTCCGCCATTGATGTAGAAGCTCGAAGGTTTTGAGGAGAGAGAAAGTGAGAGAGAGGGTTGAGGTGAGGAGAGAGAGAAACCCTAATTTGAAGCAGATAGGTTATTTGTGATTTTGGGAGAGACTGCGGATTGTCGCTTTTATGGTACAAAGGTGAGACTCGTAATATCTTTTGCGCTTCGTAATTATATCTACGTTGATATATATATATAGTCCTAATTCCGGAGATAAGAAAGATCTTTTCGGGCCGAAGAGTTGCGAGTTGCCATATATGTTATGGATACAGTTAGGTCGGGTTTGTGGCTACACCCCCCTTTAGCCACAACTCCCTACCCCTCCACCCCCCCCCCCCTTGAAATTACCATATACCCCTTACCTACACCCCCACTAACCACACAATTACGTGCAGTAACTTTCAACTAACCATGGTAATTGCAAATAACCGCTCCTACCCCACTTTATATATGCAAAAAAAAAATAAATAAAAAAAAATTCAAAATCACCATTTTCAAACTCAGAGAAGTTTCTTCACCAATTTCTCTCTCTTCAAAACCAAAACTCGCAACAAAATCACTACAAATTGCTTCAAAATTACTGCAAATTGCATCGAAACTACTAAAAATATCTGACATTCGCAATGAAGTTCTTCAATCGCAACTAGATTCCGAAAAAAAGGGTAAGAATTTATTCATTTTAGTAGAATTTTGAGTGTAAACCCTAGATTTTAAATTTTAATTTGCGTTTTAATGTTCTGAAACATAATCTACTATAATTACACTTAATTTTGTGCAAAATTGACTAAAATCTACTATATTTGGTGGTATTTTTGTAGAATCGAAACAGAGAAGAACACTTTGAAGATGAACACTTTGGAAATGAACACTTTGGAGAAGATTCCGTCGGAGAAGATAGATTATGAAGAAACGTAAGTTTCATTTCAAAGAAAATGTATAATTGTTAGTTAAATAATGGATTTATTAGCAAAAACATTAACAAATTGGTTAAAATACAGAGATGATGATGATCAACCTATTCAAATAAGAGTAGAAAAACTAAAAAAAAAGCCGCGAACAAAAGTCACTCGTTGTAGATCCAAATCTTTTAAATGAAATAAAAAAAGTCTTGTGGTACAGATCCAAGGTATTATATGCAGAGGCGAACCCACATGTAGTCATCGTGGGTCTCAGGACACAATACTATTTTATTTTAAAAAAAATAAAAAAATAAACAAATAAAAATTTACTAAAAGGTGAGGGGTGACATTGTCTAACAAAAAATGACTACTCCTTAACCCCTAAGTCATGTGAAATCGTGAATCTAACCAAAATAACAAGTAAATTAAAAAAATTTAAAAAAATAATTTATTGAAAGAAAACAAAACTTAATCAGTCATTTTCTCTCTCCATAAAAAAATTTAGCACCCACCACACTCACGCTATTACGCTTCGTCAAATTGTCGACTGTTAGCTGGCCGAGAAGTCAGACCACCCACTGCCAGCCGACGACCTCCGCGACTTCGCCAGTCTTGTCCTCTGTCCAATTGTCCACTCTATAAACTAATTAATCAGGTAATTTACTAACCTTAAATCCCTAAATTTTTAAATTCAAATTTGGGTATTTTTGTGATTGTTCTTGACTTCTTGCTAAGTAATTCCTTATGCTAATTGTTTAAAAGCTTTATATTGTTGTTCTTATTCAGTTTATAAATGATTATCTGAAGGTTTTGCTTTAGTCTTTACTCTTTAGAAGTTTGGATTGATTATTTGTTCTAGGGTTTTTAATTGATTATTTACTGTTTTAATTGTATAGTTGTTATTCATGAAATGGGAATTAAAGTTGCAATTTCCATCGAAATTATTGGTCAATTGAGATTTGTGAATTTGTGAATTGTAGTTTATTTATTTTATTTATATGGTTCTATACTTTAATACTTATATGTCTTAGTAGCAAACTAGCAAGAATTATTTAGATTGATTTATCTAATTCAACCTTTAACTTCAATTTCAGAATGAAAAGAAAAACAACTCGAGATATTTCAAGTTTTTTACTAAAAAAGTGCCTACTCTAAATCCTCCTCCTCCACAAAATGATCTACCTTCTCAAGAAAGTGAACCAAATCCTCCTTCACTACAAGAAAATGAACAAAATTCCCAAGAAAGTGAACCAAATACTCCTTTACATCATGCAAGTGAACAACATTCTTCCCCATCTCACAATTTCCCTCAAAATGAAGATGGGCAATCTTTTCCCCAAGGTGGTTCGTATCCTAGTGCTCAAATTGGTGAAGGAAGATTAAGTGCACTTGATATTGTTAATCTTCCACAAGACCCCGGAAAAAGAAGAAGGATGTGTGATTTTCATCCCGATGATAGGGATTTAGTGCGGAGAACATACATTCAAAGAAAGCCATGTCAACTTAAAGATCATGTGTTTCCTCAAACACTTTTTGGGTCGAAAAAACGTCAATTTTGTGTTAAATGGTTTGATACTTGGCCAACATGGCTTGAGTATAGTGTTGAGATGCTGCCTTTTGTTTCATTTGCTATCTATTTAAGGATGGTAACACAGCGGGAGCCGATGCTTATGTTAATGGAGGTTTCAGATATTGGAATAGAAGAGACACAATTGTAAAGCATGTTGGTGGACACAAGAGTGCTCACAATAATGTTGTGGTTGCTATAATTTTTTTCATGAATCAAATGAGTAGCATTGCCACCGTTTTATCAAAACAAACAGCGGAAACCATGAGTGCCTATCGTAAGAGATTGGAAGCTTTAATTGAAACCATCAAATGGCTATTATTCCAAGGGTTGCCTTTTCGTGGTCATGATGAAAAGGAAAGTTCATTATCTAGAGGTAACTTTCTTTCGTTATTAACTCTTCTTTCAAACCATGATCGTGAGTATTCCAAAGTTGTTTTTAAAATGGCCCCTGGTAATTGTCAACTTACTTTTCCAAGTGTCCAAAAAGATATAATCAATGCTTGTGCAAAAAAAAACAACTAAATGAATGATGGAAGAACTAGATGGTGGATTTTTTGCTATTCTTGCTGATGAATCTGCCGATGTTTCCGATAAGGAACAAATGGCACTTTGTTTAAGATTTGTTAATAAAAAGGGGGAAGTGTGTGAGCGTTTTCTTGGTACTGTGCATGTTCTTGATACTAGTTCTTTGACTCTCAAAGCTGCTATTGAGTCATTACTCATGGAACACTCTTTAACTTTCTCTCAAGTTCGAGGTCAGGGTTATGATGGGGCAAGTAATATGCAAGGTTCAATTGATGGCCTTAAAACTCTTATTTTGAATGAATGTTCTCAAGCATACTTTGTTCATTGCTTTGCTCATCAACTTCAATTGACACAAGTTGCTCTTGCTAAAAAAAACTCAGATTGTGGTTGGCTTTTTGTTGATGTACTTGCACCTCTCTTGAACTTTGTAGGAGGTTCACCTAAGAGGAAATAATTTCTTCGAGAAAAACAACGTCAAGGGGTTGTAGAAGCATTATCCTTGGGTGAAATTGAATCGGGAACTGGTTTAAATCAAGAACGTGGCTTATGTAGACCTTGTGATACTCATTGGGGATCTCACTTTAAAACCATTTTGAATGTGCTTAATTTATATCCTTCAATACTTTTGTCACTTGATTCCATTGTAGAAGTATTTGATACACTTGATTTGAATAAAGCACAATCTATTACACACTTGTTGATGTCATTTGATATTGTGTTTGTGGCACACTTGATGGTTGATATATTTGGAATTACAAATGCGTTGAATGTGGCATTGCAAAAACATGATCAAGATATTGTAAATGCAATGGTCATGGTTGATGTAACCAAGACTAATTTACAAAAGTTGAGAGATGAAGGATGGATTCCACATATAGAAAAATTCACTTCTTTTATGGCTAAAATATGACATTGAGGTTCCAAACATGGAGGGGCGATATATTGTTCCCGGGAGAAGAATGTATAGAGGTAAAGGTCCACAAGTGACTAATCTTCATCATTTTAGAGTTGAAGTTTTTCTGAGTGTCATTGATCTTCAATTACAAGAACTTGAAAATCGATTTCCCGAGGTAAGTAAGGAATTACTTGTGTGTATGTCTTGCTTTAATCTTGCAAATCGGTTTCATTCTTTTGACAAAAGAAAGTTAGTTCAACTTGCCAAATTTTATCCCAATGAATTTTGAAGTTCTGAGTTATTATTTTTTGAACATTCACTTGAAAATTTCATTGTTGATGTTCGAAATGATGAGAGATTTTGGAATTTGAAAAGTCTAAGTGAACTTTCTACGAAACTTGTTGAGACGGGAAAGTTTGAAACTCATGATCGAGTCTACTTACTTTTGAAGTTAGTGTTGATTCTTCCCGTTGCAACGACAAGTGTAGAAAGAGTATTTTTTGAAATGACGCAAGTGAAAGATAAATTGCGTAATAGCATGGGAGATCAAATGTTGAATGATTGTTTGATTACTTATCTAGAAAGAGATTTGTTTTATAATGTTAGCATGTATGATATTGTAAATCGTTATCAAAACATGAAAACTCGTCGATAGCAGTTGTAATAAAATTAGTACTATTTTAGTTGTAATACGAATTTGCATTACTTTAAGAAATGAACTTTTTTATGTATTTTTTTTTTCATTATACAAGCTTTGACTATTTTTTGATATTATATGCGGTCGATGGACGATGATGGGACAACCTATTAATCAAATCCTGGATCCGCCACTGAATATATATTCATGTCCTGAAAATTATATGTTCAGTTACTAAGTAATATATATTCATTTGTTTAATTGACTTGATATGCCAAAATAACAAATGTTCATTTTGATGAGATGTTATGCACATTTATGACATTCATAAATAATCATATGAGTATGCAGATATACTTATGTGCCTATGAAAACGTTTGATCATTTATGAAATACGAAATGTTCATATATATGTAGTAATGTTCATTTTTAAATATATGTTTATATTGGTTCATTTGAGTATACATATATGTTTTTATGCCTAAATATCAAATGTTCATTTCTTTTAAACATAATGCACATATAATATTGATAATATGCATTTGATTTGTATGCCTAAATATGAAATGTTCATTTCTATATTGTAGTGATGTACCATCTAAAGTGAAACACTTGCGTCAATTTAGAGATGGAAAATCTGAACCATTAACTCTAAAGAAGGTTATAGGAAAAAATGAATTGGGTTGTAGTTATCAAAGATACACATTAAACGACAAGTAAGTTTATATGTATAAACATAATTATTTTTATATGCAATCATTGTGCAATGTGTATATATATCAAACTTATTAGGTGATTCTTAAAATTTCAGTGAAAAAAAAAAAAAAGGTTTGAGTGAAAATTTTTGTAATGTCAAAATCAAGACCACTAGAGACAAATCAACCAATAAGGTATAAAAAATTTATACCAAATATTCTAAATTAGTTCATATTTGAATATCATGTTATAACAATAATTCTAATTTTTTTAGTGAACAAAGTGAGAATGTACCTGCTATTCATTTCACTGCTGAGATTGGGAATTAATCTGAATCAAGGGAGACAGAGTATGTTCTACACCAATTATTTTATAGAATGTTCAATCTAAACAAATTTTTTCATCTTGATAATCCACATTCTAATCTATGAAATGTAAATAATATTCAGAGAGGACAAACAAGATGCAAAAGATGACAAACAGAATACAAAAGATGACAAACAAGACAGGAATCAAAGGAAGATAAACAATATTCGGTTTAAAAAAAACAATGTTCACTTTTTTATACATAAATGTTCATTATGTGTACCATATATGTTCATTTTTGTTAATAGTATTACTTAATATTAATTTCAGCAAGATGGAAGCTGTTCAATTAGATTTGGAAAAAAATCTAGAGAAGAAGCTTGATGATAAAGTACCTTCTAGCCCAAAGTAAGATATATAAAATGTTCATTTTTTGTAACCTTTATGTTCATTTCATATTTGCTTAGTTATAATTATAAATTTAACTAAAAAAATATTTCAAATGGTTTATCAGAAAAACCAAAGTTGATGATCAAGTGAAGCCAGCAAGGAAAATACACCAAGGAAAATACACCTAGCTGATGATCAATCAAAAATAAAAACACTAAAGGGGAAGATGCAAAAAATAAATTTAGACATAGAGAAAAACCCAAAGTATGTTCAAAATGTAATAACTAAATGTTATTAAATAAATACTGTCCATATATTAAGATTGCATAATTTTATCTCTCATTTACAGGAAGTACAAAGAATCAACTATCAGAATTATGCAAAATCTGAAGAGAATGGAAAAGGAAAGCAGTATGTACAAAAACATACGAAAAACAAGCAGGAAGATAAAGCAAGGTAAATGTTCATATATAAAACAAATAAAGCATATTTTCTTTTGAATATTTATAAATATTTATTACGGATTTTTCACCATATACCACTGAGTTAATGCATAACTCACCATATACCACACGAAACTTTCTAATACACCAAATACCACTCAGTTAATGTACAATAACACAAAATGCCTTTTTTGGTAACTGCCGTTAGTCTGTCGTTAACTCCGTTAGTAATTAAGGTTAATTATGCCATGTGGTTGTTACTTATTGGCTCTTATTAATATTATCTAATTAATTACTTAAATAAAGAATTAAGAAAAAAAAAAAACAACCACCACCTCCTCTCTCTACTAACCCCGACACTCCCCTCCCCCACCAGCCCAGCTCCCTCTCCCCGCCAGCAGCCTTGCCCAGCCTCCTCCCTCATCGGCCCTCCGGAGCTCCCCCTACCCCTGCCGTCTCCCCTTCCCGTCCTCCTCCCAAACCACCATCCTCTAAGTGCACTTTTCTCAACCCATCTTCCCAAAAATCAATCTGCATTTCCCGCCGGCCAGAATCCGACCAAAACCCCCCGCATCTCCCACGAAAACCTTCCCCTAACCCCGCCCAACTTCAAACTCACTCCTCTCACCTCCAATCACCAACTCACCAATTCCAATTCCTCCTCACTGCATTTCTTCACTGGAAGCCACCAATCCCAACAGCCTCGCCTCCTTACTCGCCACTTTTAACTCCCCCCTGTCCTTTGAATTCTCTCAATCAATTCATGTATTAATTTCAAAAACTCCAATTACAAACAATTAAGAGAGGGAGCGACCTGAATGAAGAGCGTGGAGAGTGCTTCAATGGGAAAGTTTAAACAACAGTGGAAGAGGTAGCATGCGCAGTGGTCGCCGGCAGTGGAAGATCGAGGTAGCAGTGGTCGTCGTGCCCGCATTTCGCGGCGGTTTCGTGGGGGGTGGTACTTTCAGCAAGTTAGGCGGAGGTTTTGTGGCGGTTTCATGGTTGTTTCGTGGTTGTGGTTTTCTGATAAGGTGCTGGCTGGGGTCGGGGTTGTCGCCGGCGGGGGAGGAGGGCAGTCACTGGCCAGCTGGGAAGTGGCTGGGGTCAGGATCGTCGCCGGCAGGGGTGGCAGTGGCTTGTATTGGTGGTGTTTAATTTTTATTCTATTTTTTAAAATAATTTTTCTAAAGTTAATTAAATAAATTATATTAATTAGAACCAATTACAAGCAGCTACGCGGCACAATTAACGTTAATGACTAACTGAGTTAACGAAAATGGCATATTGTGACATTTATGTTAAACTCAGTGGTATTTGGTGTATTAGAAAGTTTCGTGTGGTATATGGTGAATTATGCATTAACTCAGTGGTATATGGTGAAAAATCCGTATTTATTATTATGTTCCCAGTTGGAGAAAAAACAGATACAAACAAAAAAGGACCTGAAAAGGACAAAGGACCTGAAAAGAAACAAAGCCCTCCAAAGGAAAATGTTGAAGGTGAAATACAAAGACAGAAGAGCTGAATCAGACTATTGGAATTGAGAAAGGTAAAATGTTCACACTTGTTATATAAAATGTTCAAATTTGTTGCATATAATGAACATGTTTACTATATTTACAATTAAAGCATATTTTCTTTTGAATGTTTATAAATATTTATTATTAATTTCTCAGTTAGAGTTGGAGAAAAAAGGACAAAGGATATGAAAAGAAACAAAGCCCTCCAAAGACAACAGAGCTGAATAAGGCTGTTGAAAATGAAAAAGGTAAAATGTTCATATTTATTATATAAAATGTTCAAATGTATTACATATAATGAACATGTTTACTGTATTTACATAAATGTTCATTTAATATTCTGTCTTTGATCATTTGATATAATAATAGTGATCATTTTCAAATATTTAAATGTATTTCATCTTTAATGTTCATGTCTATAATTTATAATGATCATTTACAGTTGTTACAGAGGCTACAATAGAGTAGTGTCATATGTTCATTTATGAATGCATATATTTTCATATACATATATAGACTTATAGATTTTTTGTTTTTGACAAAGTATTCTATTTGATATTTCTTTTAATTATTTGTATGTAAACAATATTTCTATATTTCTTAGATTCAATTTATATGAAAATTGCGAATTTTATAAATTTGTTCTTGTCCTTGAATTTTAATTACTTATATGTAAACAAAATAATTAAAATGTTCATTACCAACAGAGTATATCCTCATTACCAAAACCAAATTTGTTCATTTACATCACTTAGCAGAAAAATATTAAAAGATTAAACTCAACCTGGAGTATAATAGTTCAACAAAACAAATTCTTACTTGTTATTGTTTGTCAACCTCTTAGCTACATTAGTATCAAAAAATGCTAAAAACCTATCGTACTTATAAGAAACATGTTGACCACCACGTTGAATGCCTTGAACATGTGAAAAAAGTTGAACATTTGAAAGAGGTTGATCATTTGAAGGAGGTTGAACATTTGAAGGAGCTTTAACAGTTGTGGTAACTTCAACTCTTCTTGAA